TCGATCTCTATTAATAGAGATCGATGTACAATACAGTATTACCTTTGACTATTAATACAACAACGTATTACACCAAATACACCCACTAAAACACCCAATTGCATTATAATACAGCTGAGTGTGTATTGCTTGCCTTGTAATCAGAAATGCTAAAAAGTGGACCTAGCTGTCCTGGATCATTGGGCTTTGATATTGGCTTGGGATATTGATTCTGAATCAGGAAACGGCAACAAAGTTACACAAGGCATGTTAGTAAGGCACCAATAAAATTCACTCATATCATCATAATGAGCAAAACAGTGTCTTTGTCTCAGCAAAAAGACTAATTACCAAAAGTCAAGTAAAAACAAATTGATAACATAGTCAACCATAAACATCTATTTCGCTTCTGTATCGCTCACAATCAGTAGCCATTGGTAATCTTTTTTTTCGCAATGGCAATTGACCAACCAGAAAAACAACACAATGCTGTTAAACCCGGCTGTAAACCGACGTTTTACACCCTCAAACCACTTTTGCAAATAGTATAGTGTGTCATTCGTGTTTTACTGGCTATAAAAAGACTATTAAACTACGGGAAATTTCTATATTTACTTATTAAGGCCGTTGTTTTATGTTGTAATAGACAGTAATTTGCCTAACAGATTTTGCAATGTTGCATTCTTTTCACGGTTTTTATCGTGGCTAATTATTGATGAATAGTTTGAACTTCATTGAGCTTTTATCAAAGGCATGGGATATTGCAGTAAACATTTCGATGCATATAACATAGAAGAATCTCTTAAATTTCAAAGCGAACTGTTAGACAATTTGAGAATACGACAGACATTTGATGGTTTCGACGTAAGTTATTATTTTATTTATTTATTAAACGGTGATACAACATTACAAAATTTTACAATAGCCTATTGATGACAATTAGATACAATAATATCTAATCAAAAAGTATAAATTAACTTTTACAGATTATTGCATTCCAATTTAAAAAAAAACAACAGTCCTTGACAATGATCACTGCAATAAAATCTTCAAAACAATCAGATTTATTTGATTCTCAAACTAAAGGAATTATTAAATTTACCACGTAATTTCTAAGAGAGCGGTCCAAACCGTGGTGTAATTCGCTATCCCTTAGAGAGCAATAACAATTAATAACCCAACAAATAGCATCAATCAATAAAAACAAAATCAATACTTGAACACCAAACATAACAAACATTCGGAATTCCCACTTTTAATAGACAACATTACCATTCATAAATTGCCAAATTATACATGAATGAATGTGAGGTATTTAAAGATTAAAACTGTCAATGAAAGATAAGGCATTTAAACAGATAAGGTAGTACGGCACTGAATGAAAGATAAGATGACATTTAACAGATAAGTTGCGATAGCGCCACCTCCCCCACCTCCCCCCCCCCTTTTTAAATGCCCGCTTGTCCTCCTGGTAGTATCGTTGTTACTGCAGGCACGATGTGTTCTATAGTTTAACATTACTTATATTTTGTATTTTATATTTTCTTTTTGGGCCGCATTGTTTTAGAAAACAGGGTAATGTGGTCGAACTCTACATATGGGAAACATTAGTTACATTAGTTTATTGGAAACGAATTTTCTCATGTAGGCTACATTTTGTATCTGCAATGCCTTTAAAAATTGCGGATTTGTCATAGCATTCATAATTTATTTCACATAGTAAGCGAAGCAAGTCATGCGTAAGGTGTAGAAGTGAATGCGTTTATAAAAGTCAACCTATCAAAAATATTTCGTCAAAACCTTTTGTACTTAAATGGCACAATCTATCTTTCAACAGCAATGTCATATAACTATCTTCTATAAGCTTCGATGCACTATTGATATACCACTTCATTAATTTTTAGTTATCAATAAAAAGGTTGAATTGAAGAAAAATTAATAGTTTAAAACGGTTTGGCACTAGGCTTACGAATTATTAAGATCCAGTATACCATATAAATAAACTTCTAGTATAATTTAATTCGTTCCCAAATTACATATTTTTGGTAGTAATTTTTGTTCGAACCGCATTTCGGGGATTCGAACCGAGGTCCCCAAGACAGAAGGTTATGTTCTAAACCACACCACCTACAACACCCAGCACCTGCAGCATGTTTCAAAGATTGTAACAATACATTTCGTCACGACTGTAAGATTATGGACCCAGTAATTCAATTTCCGCATTACCTAAAGGACCTCTGTCCCTTCTGTTCTGTGAAAGCCTGCAATTTGTTTCCCAACAATGTGGTCGCGACGAGGTTTGACAATTCTGTCATGCGTGGATTGTTGCGGCTCGGTGAATACTTACATCAGCTGAGACCGGCCACATGGAAATACTACATCAGCTGACACCGGCCACATGGAAATACTACATCAGCTGACACCGGCCACATGGAAATACTACATCAGCTGAGACCGGCCACATGGAAATACTACATCAGCTGACACCGGCCACATGGAAATACTACATCAGCTGACACCGGCCACATGGAAATACTACATCAGCTGAGACCGGCCACATGGAAATACTACATCAGCTGACACCGGCCACATGGAAATACTACATCAGCTGACACCGGCCACATGGAAATACTACATCAGCTGACACCGGCCACATGGAAATACTACATCAGCTGACACCGGCCACATGGAAATACTACATCAGCTGACACCGGCCACATGGAAATACTACATCAGCTGAGACCGGCCACATGGAAATACTACATCAGCTGAGACCGGCCACATGGAAATACTACATCAGCTGACACCGGCCACATGGAAATACATGCGGTTTGAAAATGACGAATCTTTCAAATCTAACGAGTTAGCAACACGGATAGAGAGATGAACTGATCACCTCTGTGTTGCCATTGGTTTTAAATAGTACGAGTATAGACTTATCGTCCTGTTGTAATCGCAGTAGCTTCATTTGTCGTGTGTTCCATAATTCCGTGTATGAAACGACTGAATGTTCAATAAGTGATATGATAGCCTACCATTCATGATATAATGTATAGTATGACCATTGTCCATTGATGCCATCTAAATTTTCTCTTTCATATTTGCTCTTTAGTCATAATATCATAGGACAACTAACATAATCACATATACAGTTAGTAAGTTGTGTTGAAGATTCGTAAGGCTAATTTTGATGCAGGAAAAAAATAAGAAAGAAGTAAAATACTTGAACTAACTCAAACATTAGTAGAGGGTGTAGTGGGACAGTTCCCATTCTGTTTTTTCCAGTAATCTATAGGACTTCTACGTTATGTTGTATGTATATTATGTTCGTCAGTTTTAGGTCAATAGTGACAGTTAGTTGCTAAGCTGGAAAATTACTACTTCACCTCTGACACTTCACTATACGAATAAAAATACAGGACCTTAAATTTCTTTTAACATGCTCAGAGAGAAAAAAAAAATTACTACCCTGTTGTGGCTGCCAGGGACACTACTGAAATAGCAGTTTATCAAATTTATCATAACAATTTAAGCGCTGATTCCCACAACTTTAAAAATTCCATGTTTCAGCGTACGAAATTTAATATTCCAAAAACAATACTTAAGCTACAGTTCTGAAATTTTGTGCATGTCTTTTGAATATAAACATCTAAAAAAAACACGTATTTTGAATCCTTTTTATAAAATGAGTTTTCATTTACAAATTAACAAAAAAAGAAACAAAAAATCAAATAAATTATTAAAATTTGATACTATTAAAAAAATATAAAATTTAAACTCAGGCATATGAGTATACATGAATTTTTAGTTCAAGACTAAGCCTATAATTTAAGACCAAGATAATTAAAATAGGTCATTATGGTACTAAAGTTATATCAATTTTAAAATTTATATAAAAAACAATTAATTTTCAGCTTATACATTTTATTGATAATAGGCCTATACTGTAGTGAGTTAATGAATTTTTAACTATATTCCTTTAATTAGATAATTAACAACAGAAATGTATTACATTTAAAAGATTAAAGCTAAAAATCAAAAATACACCTTAAGGAGTGCCAAATCCCCATAAAAAAATGTGGAAAAAATGTCCAAATCCCCTGGAAAAATCGAGGGCCAAATTTCGGGTTTTTTAAGTTTGAAGGCATTTAAATAATATCCAAACCGAGACATTCGAAAAGTATAATTAACAAAACAAAATATTTTACTCAAAATTAACTAATATACGACTATTAATCCAATAGCCAAAGCTCCAATACGCTGAGCCTCCTTTGAACTTGTGGCCACCGGTACTCGTTGTATTCAACGAGCTTCATGATATAAATGTCTCCGTAGTAGTTTGAACCAGAGACCACTTTAACCACCATAGCGTGGTTTGTTAAGCCTTCGGGATTTCCTTATCTCAGGATCCTATTTTGGCTAGGGAAACAGTTAAAAATAAATTTATCATAAAATGGAATATCAAATAGCTATTCCATTCTGAGTAGTAATGTTTATTAAGTCAAATTGTTGAATAAATGTTAATTCATTTTCAACTCCTTGACATGAATGTACAAGAGGAACATACGACATGTTGCAATTAATAAAAACCGTAGTTTAAATCGACTTAAAAAAACAAGATAGCCTAGTTTCCCTGTCAATCATCACGCAACATACATCGTTGTTGTTCATTTTGGTTGGTATTAAAAATTACAGTATTAACAATAATTAAATATTATGTTATGAATATTAAATAACTGCAAATAAAAATACTACATCTGTGTAAAAGTTTTATCACGACACATTGAATGTAATATTTGATTTACGTTCGTCAAAAATAAATAATCTAAATAAAAACAGTGTTTTTTACATTTTCCCCTGAATGAATCAAATTCCAGCTATCTTCCAATGGACCCGTGTAATTTTCCCACAAGCTCGGACTACTGAGGTTGACGAACGAAAGTGAACTCTAAAGAGTGAATTTATTAATGGTGTAAACTACATTAATTTATGAAACATGCTAAAAAAAATTTGAACCCTACCTTTTAACGAAGAAATTCCAAAATATCCCTGAATAGTTTATTCACTGCACCAAACACTAATGTAAATATTGAATACAACTGTACACATTTGTTTACACACACAACTGTTGGTCACATTCCATTGTAAATCTACACTATTGTACGTATATCGAACACTTTAACACACTTCACCGAACGATATAAAAGACTCAAATTGAGCTGATTCAGTCAAAAATCGTCTACATACACAAGTAAACAACACAAGAATTCGACAGTTGGGAACACCAACAGAACAGACGAGCTAGGACGCGTATCTCTGTCTCTTTCTACGCGCGTTGCATGCTGGGAGAGCGTTCAGCTCAATGACGAGTCGGATCTTTTAAAAGAGTCGAATCTCTATTTGTCAACAGTTCTTTCTAGTACGATTTGTTTGCAACCTGGTATGTTTCGTATAAATGATTTATTATTGTTTGTAAAATAGCCATTCATGAAATTATTTACACTGCATAGTAAAAATTTACACTGGGTTGTAAAGTGATAATACTTTAAACTTTCTGTAAATAAGAGTGAAATAAAATAATATTCGTAAAAAAATATAAGTGATTAGATGGTATATTCATGCTGATTATAAAATATTTTTATCAATGTTCAACAAAATTAAAGCTGTAATTTTTTTCAACGTGGAATGTTGATGTATTAAAGAATAATTTGGACCACACACGTTGGAGTAGTTAACATTCCCAACATTTGTTTTTCACAATCTGGTAAGAATAGTAAGAAAGCGTACAATAATGCAATTAATAATAAATAATGTCAGCAACGAACACAAATAGACGTGTAATAGTATATTATGTTACTAGTCCTGAAAATAAGTGTTTACCGGACGAGTGTGGTCGTTCCCGTGCGAGACGAAGTCGAGTACGGGATTACCATACGAGTCCGGTACACACATTTTGGACGAGTTACGTACGATAGTTTACGCCATAATACTTAATCCGTACAAATCCTTATATATTTCCACTAACTAAAGGACTAATAATCACTAGTCAGAGGTTATGTTTTTGTTTATAACCACTAATTGCCACGAAAATACAGTATAATCAGCTGATTGGTGTCCGGTAAAACTCATTGCAGAACAGTATTACGCAATGAAACCCCATTTGAATAAGCAGGCGGCAAACAGCTGTTTTCTGGACTAAATCCTTGCGTGGAAAGTTTATCAAAATAATGTAGTGTGGCGTAAAATAATTTACCATTCACATTCCTATGAATTGACATTAAAACACGTAACCATAATTTAATATTCCTAAATTCTAGTTATTTTTTAAGGATTAAACACAAATTACCGATGGAACTATTAAATCTAAGTAACAACTGTATCTTCTAAATTTCAAACCTACCTTTAGCATGTGTAGTTGCTCCATGTTCCGTTCAGAAAATAATGCGTTACGTTATTTACAGTATCACAACCACAACAATGAACCACTGAAGTTGCTTGTTATGTTGTCATGAAATAACCTGCAGAATCATAGAAAGAGTGTAAGTCTACAGTAAGAACGCATCAGCTGCAACAATGAAAATTATTAACAGCTGACGCTTCTGTACTTGTGATGATTACTTTCATTATTCGTACGTTACTGTTTTGACGAAAAACTATTGCAATTATCTTTGAATGGGATAATGTTGTCACTTGTCAGTGATGATTTTAATCGTTTATTGATTTTTAGAACAATTATATATATTGTCGAGTAAATATCAATGCTCATAAAATATTTGTATTCTCATGAAATTACTAGGTTAAAATAATATTTAACTATGGATATTAACTACAATTTTTAAGACTTGAGCTATTTTACTATTTATTAGTTCGTATATCTGTGAAAAAAACAATGCATTAATTCAGATGTCAATCTAGCTACTTTATGTGTTACCTGGTGTAAAACGTAGTTATGTTTCATACTGTACATGATTCAAGCTTAATTGAGCTCATCTTTAACTGAATTTATACATTTAAAATAAATTAAGATACTTACTGTAGATATACACACTACAATATACACTGAGCGTTTTGCAATAGTATGTACACGTTTTCGCGTACACACGAGTGGATATTCTCTACTGGACAACAGTTATTAAATTGTACATTGTACTGTGACGTCACTTTCCCGTGATCCTCAGTAGGCTTACAACAAACAGGAGAGTGACGTCACAGTATCAGCTGACTGGCAGTTATTATTTTCAGTTTCAACAAAACAGCCAAACGAACAGCTATGATTAAAGATGCTGTACAACAATTAATTGACGCTGGTTTATTTTGTTTGGTGGCATTATGTTCCTTGAATCTCTGAAAGAATAATTACATATTGGTGCGATGTACCCACAAAATAATTAATTATTGTCACATTTGTCACCATCGTTGCATTGTATGATAATACCCCCTTTATCCTGCTTTTTATCAGCTTATCGTTTATGTCCTTGTAAATGTTTTCTGTTGATTTTGAAAACAGGAATACATTATTTTTAAATTTAATTACAGGGTGTCTCAGGTTTGGGCGAACCCACGATGTTATTATAGTTAATTTCTTTTAATTTTGTTAACACTTCTGTGTATAATGTCTACATTGAACCAGAAATAAATGATGCTATAAAAATTACCAATTTGTTTACATAACAGAAGTGAATGAACAAACATGTTATCAGTGGAATGATTTTGCAGCGTATGTAGGTTATGTTTTGTTTTCCTAATTAAATTGACAACTAATTTTATATCGTAGGCATTGTTGAAAGAGTTTGCGCTGGTTTCCTATAGATGCCAAATTAGTAGCTTTTATTACTTACTTTGGTTATTTAACGTCTAGGAAATTTATACAATTGTTGGTTTCTAATTCCATTTTAAGTTTAATAGAGTTGTGAATATTAATCATATACGCATAATATTATTGATTTCAAGCTGTTATAAATACATTTTAGCCAGGAAAGCAGACAAAGGGACCCGCATATAAAGTACTTTAGGGTTGCAATATTTTTTGTTGTTCCATTCAAAACCATTCTGTGTTTATAACCATTCTGTTGTTTTTTTTTTTATAGTTACTTCTTCGTCCCTCGTTAATATCGTGTATTTCACGCTCGATGAGAAGCCTATTTACACTATTTTTACAAATCAATCCAACTACTATAGTTGTAGATAAAACCGCAACCTAAGCACTATGCACTTAGCAGTCGGAGCTAAAACTATAACAAATAATGGTTAAAACATACCTCGTCAGACAATCCTTAACATGTAGGTAGTAAGGATTGTCTGACGAGGTATGTTTTAACCATTATTTGTCATATTTCGCAATCCTGGGGCTATAAAAATGAATTTTAACTAAAACTATAGCCATAAAACGATTTTGTCATTTTATAAAATAAACGTGTCAACGACTCTATATCAAGTAAAAAGAGCTAGTTCCTTACAGCGACTCGTTCAAAGATCAGCTCAATGCGATGAGCGACACATCAGTGAGCCGGTGGGAGGGGTCAATCACTGAAGACTGTACAACCGTCTACGTTCGAACCAACCAGTCCTGCTCAACCGTTCTTCTTTCAAATCCCAACACCTGTTTTGTTTATGGTTCATACACTGAGACTTTTTGCACGTATTCTGCCAGGCGCCTCACCTCTCACCTCACCAACCGTCAGAAACGGTCATCTATTATTGGAGCTGGCCGCGTTTATCACCAGCATGGGTTTTGGGGTTTATCATTAGTTAATATAACAACTGCAGTAGCTAGATGTATAGTGGGAGTAATTGATTATGCAGTAATTTATTATTTAAAAAACGCAGAACAAGTCACCGTTGTTTTAAATGACAATAAAATACCAGTTTCATCTACTTAGGTACCACATATTTAGGCCTACGGTACTTAATGTTTCGAAATTTGAAATTTCTTCTAATTTTTCACATGTATCAGTTCTTTCTGCCATTGGCTATAGAAATAACTATGAGTGAATTATCGATAACGTAGTGGTAGGCTAAATTTGCATTATAGTCACTCGACCATGTGTATTTTGCAGCACAGCTGAATCTTATTCATAGTAAGTAACATCCAAGGGACCAAAAATACCAAGATGTAAAACTGATTACTGTATTGTGTTGGCCTGATGATTTTCTGAGCCTACTGTACTGTGAGTGGTAGTTTGATTATAGAATAGTAAAATAAAACCTTAAATTATGTTGTTTTAACGATCCAAAAGGTATGGCCTAGCCCCCTAGAATTGACCATAAATGAGTGTAAACCACTATAGTAAAATTCTAGCAGTTCGTCAGTTAGATCAACACACTGTGACTAAAACTTTAAAATGGAATGAAATGAAAATGCTTTTTTACCGAGGCGAACTTAGGACCGCATTGTCAGTTAACCTCTAAGTAAACTTTGATTAAATGTAGAGCAATCTTTATTTACACGCTATACTACGACTACTACAACCGTAGCAGAAGCGGGACTGGAGTCTGTTGTAAAGTTGCGTCACAAACCAGGGAGTGCAGTAAGTTGCATTGGGGAATGTGGACGGTTCACTCTCTTGCTCTCTCGCTCTCGTTCACTCTCCCACTCTCACACTCCGCGTCGAACCACTTGTACTTTTCTAAACTTTCTTTCTATCCTGGTTGTCTGTGGCTGTATGCTAATTCGCTGATGGTTCTGGGATCTGATGGTAAACATGCCAGCTCTAAGCTGATTTAATAAGCAGAAGCTAAAGGAGGGATTTATCCCACGCATGGTTAAATCATCCCTCGTCCCGAAGTAGTCTCTATCCCAGTTAGGGACAGGGACTCCGCACCCATTCACATTCCTTGTTCGCAGAGAAGATTTAAAAAATGATTGTATGAAATATGGACATTTTTGAAGAAATTGAGTAACTACACTAGTTTTGTGTGCAAAATCTTGTAAAAAATAAAATGAAAACATCGTTTTTTACTTTTACTTTACGTTGTGTCGAGCCAAACATGTTTAGGGACTACCGATACTTTTGGTTCCCATGTCAAAATCGATCCAGGCAAAAATCGGGATTGTTTTGAAAATTATGGATTTTTGACATAATTATATTAATCGTTATGAATCGAAATTGGTTTACAATAAATTGTAGGTGTTTGGTAGACGTTTCCCGAGTCCCGAGGTCGTCTCCTTCGTTCGCGGCAGAATCTTTAACACCTTCTGAGGCAGCGGAGTCACTAATTATCATCGTATTCCGTGATCGTGACAAAATCGTGAAGGTCCCCCGTTGTCGCGACCTCCCACTGAGGTAACGATGGTATCGGATATCCTAAACATATTTCCCTGGACATGGCAAAATCATTAACGACAATTTCGGTTTTTGTGAAATCGCGATCTTCACTTTCGATTGTGGCAGAATCGTAAACATCTTCCGTGGTCGTAGAGAAAATATAATCTACTGAAGTTTCTGTGAAATACTGGAAGTCAATTGCGATCTCAGTGAAATCGTATGAACATATTGTGCGGTTCCGAAGACATTATTTTCGTCATCGTAGCAAAATTGGAAATTTTCCATCGCGTATTTTTTTTTAGGTAGGTGTACTCTTTTATTATGATTGTGAGAATAAAATGCTTGGCTTGAAAATCTAACTGGATCCGAATCGATCTATTGGACCAAATCAACTGTTGGCCTTGACTAAGCGAAAAAAATACGTGGATCAACATACCACGTAGGGAAGTCACCTGCATCAGTACCGGATTTACCACTAGGCCGATTAGGCCGCTGCCTAGGACCGCAAGCAAAAGGGAGCTGCAGAGGATTGGGAAAAATGTGTTTTAGAAAAGAATTTGTTTCTTAAAACTACCAGCTTGCCACGATTACAGGTGACCATAATGTAATCTCCGCTAATCTAGGGAGATGTTCACTGTCTTGCCGCGGCCCCAGGTGCTGATGATGATGTCCCCGTGATTGCGTGCCGCGGGAGACGTTCACGATTTAGCTGTGGCCGCCGGTGACGGTGATGTGTCCTCACGATCGCAGCCCAGGGGAGACGTTCAAGTATTAGCCGCGTTCGCGAGTGTCGATTATGATATCCCCGTGATTGCGGCCCGCGGGAGACGTTCACGATTTAGCCATGGCCTTGGGGGACGGTGATTTGTTCTCATGATTGAAGTCCGAGGGAGACGTTCAATAATTAGCCGCTTTCGCGAGTGTCGATGATGATGTCCCCGTGATTGCGGCTCACGGGAGATATTAACGATTTCGCCGCGGCTGGTGGTGTCAATGAGGATGTCCCCGTGATGGCTTCCCGAGGGGGATGCTTACGATTTTGGCACGGCCGCTGGTGACAATGATGATGTCCTCATGATCGCAGTCCACGGGAGATGTTTATAACACGACTTTGCCGCGATCGCAAGTGTCGATGATGATGTTCCCATGAATGCGGCCTGCGGGAGATGTTCACGATTTTACAGTGGTCACGGGTGACGGTGATGATGTCCTCAAGGTCACAGCTCACGGGATATGATCACGTTTTCGCCGCGGTCGCGAGTGTCGAGGATGGTGTCCCTTCGTTGCAGCCCGCTTCATGATTTTGCCGCGGTCACGGTCACGGATACTTGTGATGGCTTTGACTTAGTTTAGGAGAGATGTCAACGATTTCATCCACGATCACGGGCGTTTGTACATAATAGCTTTACCGGAATATGGCATTAAAAAGAAATTCTAATGTACTCTATGTAAAATTGTGTTGGCAGGGGAAGAGAAACCTTCTTCTTTTACTTCTTCTTCTGCATTTCCTTTGGATATTTCTACACGCGTTGTTGGAGGGTAAGTATTTTACAATTAATATTATGAGTATAATATAACAATAAATTGCTAATCGGTTAGATACTAGCAATACCTTCATAAATAACATTGCTAAATGTTTGTTAATGTTCAGTCATAAGTTCTAACAGGCTCTCCATAGCAGTCGTTCTTTTGAAGTGAGTTGGCCTAGGCCTAGTTAGCGATCTTCCATCGTCGAAGTGGAATAGGAGTAACTTAGCCTATATTCTTGGCCTATGTTGTTTGTCACTGAATGCAAATTCATGTTTTTATTGTAAAACGTATTAACTCATAAATTTGTCGCCATCCATCCGTTATCATGGTCAAAGATAAAGAAATCTAGTAGCCTAGGCTATCGGGTAAGCCAAGTAAAGTGCGATCATGTCTTAGGCCTAGTCTTGTTAATGACCAAGACCGACATTTTCCTAGGACAGGTCTGTTTATTAAGTTAACATGTTTAGTGTAGGCTACAACTGTTGATGTAGTGCCTCACTAGCGCTCCTATTGGCCTACATCTATAGATGTACAGTAGTCACTCCACTTAGCCTACATTAGTTCAGTATATGATCAGTCATTGCCGGGGAACGTTATAAACTTAATCGTTGCCACCCTGTAGCTTAGAATGCAAGCTGTAAGTATTTAGTTGTACAAGGGCTAACATTTCTTGTAAAATCCCGTCTGACAATGCTTTTGTCTTGGTTTTGGGGATTGTTTTTCTCTTGCCACGACATTATAAAGAAATTAACTACGGATCCAGGCAGTGCTGCTACCTTTGGGTATTTCAGTGAATTATCTTAAGTACGTCCACTCTCAGGGTAATGCAGCAAATGGGTTGGCCTCGATCGGGTAACTTAATGGTGGAAATGGGGGTTGCTGACGGTCCCCTTCCTCTTGGCTATGATGGCGGGTTTTGGCCTGTCAGGGATTGGATAGGTCCCGAGTGATGCTTGCACTGTGTTGCGTCCATGGAGTCCATTATGGTCCTTAGTGGTTTCGGCCCTGGGGGAACCCATTTGGAGGGTACGTTCGAGACCAAGTAACAGGTATCCCTGGTTAGGATTGAGAGGCAACCCTCTTTCCGAAGGGTTGCTTTGGCAGCCGGTGAGCCTGATGGCCCTAAACCATCCACCCATGGTGTCGTTAAGGTCGGTGCGTAAGTTTCGGTTGGTATCATGGGTCCCGGTTATAGGTCTGGCCGTCTGGGGCTTCGGCTCCTTGGACAACAGGAATCTTAAAGTGAGGTCGGGGTGTGTGCTGAAAAGTGTGAAGGGGGCGGTGGCAAACTTTGTTGGTAGGGCCTAGAGGCGGTAGGCTAGATACTTAAATACGCCCCTGGGGATAATATAAATCAACAACTCGGTTCAGTAATAACCTTAACTTTACCTTCCTAATCCAACCTAACTTCAAAACACTTAATTTAGTACAGTCACGAATCTAAAACTCCCACCCTACCTAACTCACATATGTCTAAATATCTTAAGAATTGATAGGTTCACAATAAGTTAATCAACACTCAGTTGTACTTATAAATGCCTCTAACTTGCAGCTTTGATGTCCTTGTGTAGGCCTAAACATAATATTTGTCGTCTTAGGTTTCATCTTCTTCCCTAGAGGATCATTTCCTTCATGTTTGTGTTAAGTAGGTACTATAGCCTATTCTATTCATTCCCTACAGTCAGTAACTTAATGACGACAGCGACAAGCAGACAATAGTTAGGCTATTATACAGTTAACAAAATTAAAACGATCGGGTTTCATTTATTTTTGTCCCCACAGAATTAATTTTTACACCATTGTTTGCAGGTAAAAATCTAGTTTCTTATTAAATTTCTAAGTTATTACTAACTTAAAAGTTCCTGTGGTCACCTTATAAATGCATAATTTTTGTGGATTAGAGGCTATATATGAAATCTTGTTAGTTTAAGTTTTGCCTTGTTTGTTATTAGCCTAGGCCTACCCTATCATTAATATACGAAGCCAACCCAAACTGATCTTAAATAGGCTAACCTAAACTTAACCGCTGCAGCGCCGGTGAAAAACGTTTTCTTGAAAAAAAAAATAGGTAGGGTGAAGTGGGGTAAGTGTGACCTAAAAATCATAAAGTTCATCTTTACAATTTTTTTTCTCGGTTATTTCTAAAGCTAGAAACTTGAAATTTTTAACACTTAAACTTTTTCTTTAGGCTATTGGTAGAAAAAAAACCAATGTGATAAACTTATGCTTTCACTATTTTTTTTTTTTACTTACAAAAAATGCTTGCCAGCTGTCACACTTGCCCCATGGGGTCGGGGCAAGTGTGATAGCGGCCTCTATAAAATCCTGTATCTCTTTTAATGGTAAATGGGGCAATTGTGATAAATACCCAGTTAGTGCTCTTTCAGGAACATTATGATTTAAGTCCCTATCATTCTTACTTTTTGAGATATTTACAAATGAAATAAAGACGTACAAATCTGCGGAAATTTGTAAAAAACTTGCATCAGATAACACAGATTACATCAGATCACACTTGCCCCAGCCATTGAAAATTTCCGGGGTAAGTGTGACATGTGGTTTTAAATTTAATGATAAATTTGTACACGTTTTAAATATTTTTTTTCTAAAAGTTTAGGCCTAGCTTTTAGGCTCTTTAAAAATCTGAGTTTGATATAAATTGGTCAAAATTTAAAATAACTACAAATTAAACAAAATTTCCGAACAAACTTCGATTTTGACCTAAAATGTCGTACTTATAAAAACCAATAAAATCAACATACAGTAGTTACTAAATTGATAAAAAACTATGTAACTAGATACCTACCTTATATGTCAAACATTATTTCTATGACAAAACCAATTTTTTTCAGCGATTCCTAAAAACAAGATGGCCGGCTATCACACTTACCCCGCTGTCACACTTACCCCACTCCACCCTATATACAATCAATAACTTACTATAAATTAGGTTAAAACACCTATAAATAAATCATTGAAACCGAATATGGTAAGCTATATCTGATAAGCTGCTATATAAATATCTACCGGTAGGCCTAACTAATATTTTAGCCTATCCAATAATATCAGTTAGTAGGTTTTCTGCATAACTGTAACTTACCCACATTTTTATGAAGGATTAGTTCTGAGAATGTATTCCATGTAGAAAATATTTTTTATGTGCCCTGTGATGAAGAAATCCACTTCTTGTGATACTATGTGATCATTATGATTAGTCTTTCTGAGAGCACACTTACTTACTGTAGTTTAACTTAATGCTCGATCTTCATTTAAAGTTGGCCTAAGTAGCCTAAGTAACTTATGGTACTTTGGATTGGTATGGGTTTTGGGCAAAAAAAGATTTTTCCCATTTTCTGGGAAAACGGGACGTTTCCGCAAAAAATGAATATATCATTTTTGGAATCAGCACTAAAAAACGAACAGATAAAAAAAAAATTTTAGAGCGTTGACTGGAGGTCGACATAATTACAATTTACGGAGGTCACCCTTAGGCCTATGCAGCACGCTGTGGTGATTATGTTACGTTGAGTTATCATGTATGGCTCATTTGATATTGTTAGATTCATAATGAAACGAGGAAAGTCCTACAAACATACTTATGATAACCAAATCTAACATGACCACAGCAGCGTGCTGTGAAACAAGTGGCTTCCGTATAATACCAAAGTTAGCCTAAGTAGGCTATTTAAGTTACTTGCTCACCCATTGCTTTGTTTAAACTATGATCGGGATACAAAACCAGAATGTATGCTGGGCAGGTAATTAAAAGTTAACATTTTTAGGTGTATTATCATTTTAGATCCAGTTTACAACTAAACTTAGGCTATTCCACAAAATTATGTTGTGTTTCAGAACAAACAAGATGCAAATTTTCGTGAAAACCCTTACGGGTAAAACCATTACCCTTGAGGTGGAACCCTCCGACACTATAGAAAACGTCAAGGCCAAAATCCAAGACAAAGAGGGCATCCCTCCCGACCAACAGCGACTCATCTTCGCCGGCAAACAGCTTGAAGACGGTCGTACTCTCTCTGACTACAATATCCAGAAAGGTAAGCTAAATTATATTTAACTCTTCAAGTTAACTTAATTGATTTTACTAGGTACTAAACAAATTACTAAACAGCCACTACCCCGTTCGTTTCCTCCAAGAATCATTATATCTACGTTGAAGATGTAATTAGTATAAGCCCATTTACTTACTCCCTCGATGTCGTTGACCAGCTCTTGTTGGATCTAGGCTAGACTAAGAAAAAAAAACCTAAAGAGCGGCAGGTTGGACACCAATGTTATAAACATTTTTAGGGAGTAGGCCTACAAGAGCCTTGCCAGAAGCCATTCTCTCCATTTTTAAAATCTGGTTTTTAAAGTTCTTAACTATCAATAAGGCTAAATTATGTTATTGATAAATTTCTTTTGCTCAATGATGAAAATCCCAGTTGTGACATTCTGTGATATTAACGATTAGTCTTTCTGAGAGCAATATTTGACAGTTATTTCTTAATTAGCCTAGTCAAAATTGGTATGATTAACCCTATGGGGGTTTAAAGTATTACCTTTTTGTTTGTCGGCCTATCAGGAGTTTCACATTGTAATTATTCTTTTCATATAGAAATTAAATAAAAATGACAACATGTCAACTACCATTGATTTTGCTATGTATGAAAATCAATAATTTGAATTAGGCCTAGTAAATATTATTTTCTAAAAACAAAAATTTGTATTTGAATCTGTCTAAACAAGGGAAAATATGTTTTAATTTTTGCCATAGAGCTTAAATCTGTAAGGCAGGGACATTAAGATTATCAAGCCTATCTTTTTTTTCTGATTTAAGATAGGCCTTTAGTAGTCGGTAGCTATAGTAATACCAGAAACAAAAGAACCCTCGGCCGTTTCGAGCCGCGCAGGTTTCAATGGTACGGCCCACCTACCTGCGCGAACCACGTGATCTTTTCGTTTCTGCGCAGGTTGTTTTGTTCGTGGTATATCTATAGAACTTAACTCACCTTTTTCTTATGGGATTAACTAGACCGTTAGACAAGTCGATTAACCTTCAGTAACATAGTGACGTGATTTTATTGTACTTGTACAAGGCACCAACGACATCATACAAAAAAATATGGGTAGGCCTATTTCGCTCAATGATGAAAATATTACGTTGTGACGTCTGTGATATTAACGATTAGTCTTTCTGAGAGCAATACCTGATTTTTTTCTTAACTAGAAGACCCCTGATTACCTAAATAAAATAAAAGTATCACCCCATAGTATGCTTTGCCATTCTATTGAACCGGTCAACTACAAGTAAGTGCTAGCCGGAAAATCAAGTTTAAAAAATTTTACTCAACATCAGATTTTAAACAATAACAAATTTTATTTTCTGCTTCACAGAACGATGCAAACAATTAACATTTATGTTTTACAGAGTCCACACTTCATCTGGTGCTCCGTCTGCGTGGTGGTGTTATTGAGCCTACTCTGCGTATCTTGGCGCAGAAATACAACTGTGACAAGATGATCTGCCGTAAGTGTTACGCTCGTCTTCACCCCAGGGCTACCAACTGCCGCAAGAAGAAATGCGGACACACCAACAACATCCGCCCTAAGAAGAAGATAAAGTAGACAGTTACTCTTTTTTTCACTCACTATCCGGGTCAAGATTTTATTCAAATTCATGTTATTTTATTTTCAACATGAGATGTTTTAAACAAACTTCATGTTTATGAATAAAGACTTAATGTTAACCTGATTTTGCCTTTTATTATTCAATTGTTGAATTGTTGATGTAGAAGTTATTTGGGACCATTTCTTGCCAATTCACAACTACTAAGTATTTTTTCTGTCTGTTATAAATGTTAAAACAATTATCTACAAATCTGTTAAGAGTTCAGTTATTTCAGGTTGGCTTAGGTTAAAAACCCATTATTAAAAGAATTTGTTGGATTTTGTATTCAGCAAATTAACTTATAAATATTTATTTATTTTTATAGGCAAATTGATATTGGGTATCAAATTTAAAGCTCATTTCAATTTTCAGAGTTTGTGTTGAATTATGTTGTCAATCATCTGAACTATTTCAAGTTTAGATTTGTTTACTTCAAAACGGTGGCCATAATACAAAATTTTGTTTACACCCATTCTAAATTAGGGTTATCTGTAGTTGGTCATGTTTCAGTGAATCAAAGTAAAATATTGTAGGCTAATGTTATTTGTTTGTATAGGCTATAACAAAACATATAAAGGAAGGTGTGTTCATTCTCAGATGTAAACTTACCAGTTTGAGCAGCTACGTTATGCGAGTCTCTCTACCGTACCTGAGCTGTTAAAACAAACTGCTTGCAGAACAAGTTATATTTGACCAAATCATGGTATTCATTCATTAGGCCTACCTTATGATCTAGAACCTGAGTCTTTTAATTGAAAAACAGTAAAGAACTAAGGTTACGTGACAGGCAAAATATTTATTTAGGTGACCATAATAAATTAGATTTTTACAGCTCTTACATTATACCATTGACTTTATTTACTTTGAAATGGCAGCCATACGAATGTAGGTATTTTAAGTCTAGTATGAAAGGAGATGAGTGGCACGATCTTGAAGTCTTGTTAGTGACAAAGGCCGACATTCCTTAGCATAGCTGTTAATGAACATCGCATACCCAATGGCAACTAAGGGGCCTACAGTTTGTAGTGGAATCCGAATCACATTTTTGCCTTTTAATTAACGAATTGGTCTAATTATCAATACAGTACTGCAGATAGTCGTAGTAATTACTACTGCGGACATTAATCCACAGAGAGACAGACTATTAAGTCTTAGAATGACTTTATAACTTCAAAACTAAAAGAGATCTCTCAACTGAACCACATTTGGCATGTAATTACTTTCCGTTTTAAAGTTATAAAGTCGTCCTAAGACTTAATTGTAACCCTATACGTATTGTTTAAGCAAAATCCTCAGATCATTTAGTAGCCTACTTGTGGAGGATCGTCACAAATAAACTGACAAAATTTTATTTTACAAGAAATTTAACATTTCCTTAAAAACTTAAAATTTTTTTCATTTTGTTAACTGCAATTCTTTTGTTGGTTATAGATTCACTCTTTATTTTTTTCTAAGCTCTTTTATTCTAGTATTTACGCAAGTTCACATTATTATCCAGGTCATAGGTTTCCAAAAAATCTGCTTGTCATAATCAACTTTTTAAAATGGTATGGTATATTCATCAGTCTTTATGTTGGGGCCTCTCTGGAAAATGTCCTCTAAACAAGTGGTTAGATTTATTAAATATGGACTAGGGAAAATTAGATTTCCTTGATTTAACAAATTCATCTATTCAGAATTGCCTCTAATACCTTGGTTTTATGGTACGAGGTGAGGGTATATATATTTGTTAGGGATGGTCAAGTCTCGAAATTTCGGGAAATTTTAAATCTCGTTACACGAGACGAGATTTCTTTTTGGCCGAGATTTTTATCGAGATAAGAATAAAAAAAAAATTAAAAACGCCTGCAGAAAGTCAATGCAATACCCGCAATACAGGAGCGTGTTGTAGTTGCGTTTCCTTTGCGAAGGTGTTCTTATTTAATGAATTCTTTAAATGTAAATATTACTTTAATAACATTTGAGAAGTTTTGTTAAGTGTAAGCAGTGTGAGGAATGTTTTATTACTATAAAAAGTCAAAACAAGTAGGTAACTATTTTATAAAAATTAATATTGCTTTTATTTTATGATTTATTTTATCTTAGGATAAGTTGAACTCTATCCTAACTGATATCACTATGTTTCCAAATCGTAGGCATTTTTAATAAGTTAGGCGTGATAATAAAAAAATGTTATGCTGATGTTTTTTTAATAAAAGATTGTAAATATTCTTGCCTATTATCATTATTTTTGTATTTAAACAGTCATCTAACAATGTTACAAAATCAGGTAAAAATTTTGAACGTGCATTTCCCGTTGTGTATGAGAAGGGAAATCCCGTCTCGATCTCGTCTCGAAATTTTATGAGAAATAAAAAATCTCGTCTCGTCTCGTCTCGAACTAAAAATCCAATCTCATCCATCCCTAATATTTGTAAATATTTTGCAAACGTATCCAGTTACATACTTCAAACCTTCTCCCGGTTTCATCATCTTTATTGTTGTTGAAATATCCTCAGTACCTACAAGAGTACTTTTAAAAACTTTTAATTTTCAAACGTAAACAATTTGGCAACATCACAGAATACATACATTGTATTAGGTTCTCACAATTCACAAAACGCTTTCTTAAGTGATACTGGTTATCAGTGGCGGTCCCAGGATTTCATTTCGGGGGGGAGGGGGGTATGGAATCTCCCCCAGAAAAGAATTTGAAATTTTAAGCCTAAAAACAAAAACGTATTTGAGCTCTAAAATATGCTCAAGCTAAATAGTATTTATGTTGGCTAATAAAATATAAAATATTTCAGGGGGAATATATCCCTCCCATCCCCCCCCCCCTGGGACCGCCTGCTGATTATGGTTCGGTAGGCATAAATATTTTTTTGCATAAAAACGTTCTTCTAGGCAATGGTGAACAGATTCGTGGTCAATCAATAAGTTAGAAAAACTAAAACTAAAAAGCTACAACAAAATAAAAACAAGAACAGTACAATTGGGAGAAAACTACAAATTCATCTTATTTATATGGTAGTTTTAACAAAGAAAAAAACTATAAAAGATTTAAATTTTTAAATTAATGCCAATGTACAGTACAACACAAGCAGTCTGGGCGCGAGGTTTCGTCTCTACTAGCCGTCCTGTGTACATTTCACCATAGACAAATATAATAAATATATACTGTCAAAGGAAGGTTCCGGCGCCCACCGCTAGGATTTGCCGTGTAGTTACGGCACACCGCTGCAGGCGAAGAGCGCAGGAGACGTATGTAACCAGCAGACACTGCAGCAGTGTGTGCCGTAACTACACGCCAAACCTAGCGGTGGACGCCAGAACTTATGCTAACCACAGCACAGCTGATGGTCTATATTTATTCTATTTGTCTATGATTTCACCCACCCCAACTAGCCACAAAGACTGCTGAACAACCCCAGAGCCTTGTAGGCCAGATGTTAATATAAATATGTTACCTGTAATTGCCACAGTTTAATACCGTATTGTATTTTAATACCTTTTCCCATTCAATAGTATTTCGGGATTTACCAGGATTTTACGTATCCGGGAAGCCTCAACCCTACTTTATCGGGAGTTGAGAGTTGAGTGTACAATGGAGATACTGACCACTGAAATTATTGATGTGGTTTAGGTAATAACACAAACACATAATCACTGTACATCATTTTCTATTTCAGCATAATTAAATACTGCATTATATATAAAAATGTGAGACTTGAAACAAAATAGTAACTGTATTAAATATCATATATCTTAACCCAACTGTTAAATTAGTTCTACAACACAACAGTAGAAATATGCAAAATAATCTAAATAAGTTGAAAACATTACATTCTGTTCTTAGAATGTTGTCACAAAAATAGAAATTTTTGTCAAATTTTGCAACAATTTCTGAAAATAAATAAAAAAGTCATGATTTTAGATGATTTGAAAAACACAAAATACATTCAACATTTTCATCACTCGTTGACTAGATCTTAACATTGGTTTCACAAATGTTATGAGGAATGTAATTTAAATGCAATAAACTGATCAAAACAAGAAAACCACTTCAAACAGTAATCAAAACAGTGATACCCAGAATACAGTAAAAAAAACTAACTGAAAATCAAGTTTCACTATTACAGAATTGATAGATCAAGAGCGTTCACAATTTTAAAGTCAAATTTTGTTAATGCTAAACAGCTGTGTACTTTTTCTTTTTTTTTACAAAAATCAACACAACACTATATTAACATAATGAGGAAAAAATCATGTAACAACATAGTTTTACAGATATAATTTGTTTGTAATTGTAACAAAACATTACTATTCTCACACTACACACTCGTTCTATTCACCCTCACAGAGGGCAATTTTCCATGACACGGCCCGTACATCGTACGCTGTCCTCGCCGCCACGCACTCGCACAAACATTTGGTACAAATAAAAAAGAATCGTCCGAAACAATCACTGTCCACCTTAATCACTAACGTTTTTCCAGGGAAAAAAGGAACTCGAAATACAACTGCGCTGACATACGTAAAGCTATAAAATACATCGACAGGCAAACTTCCTTTTATTTCATTATGAAAAATAGAATCACCTTTTGATGAATACAATAAAAGCAAGTGATGAGCTGTGTTGTGGTCCCCGGTTCGGACAGGCGTCATGGATCTGGCCTCACCTCTCATCCACAGCTGCTCGCACAACCTGCCAAAGTATATACATCAGTCAGTAGTGATTACGGTGGCACCTTTTTATCTACCAGGGATTACGTTAATAAAAATTAAATTAAATTATCTATGGTTTTTAAATAATTTTTACAAATAATTTGAGACATAAAGTTACCATTTTGTCAATATTACAAACCTAAAGGTAAACCCCAGATCCAACAGAAGCGAAAATAACAAGCTTAAGCGAAAATAACAAGCTTAAGAAGATCATTGTAATTTCATCCCCAAGATAAATTAACAATAGACTTGTTGCAATTTCTTTTCAAATTAGTATTGTTTTCCTAACCTTGGCTGTATTTGTATTTTTGGTCCACACTACGCCCCACTAATCACTGTACTAAAAGCGACAGTGACGGCCTACTGAGCTCATCGTAGAGGTACAAACTGTTACCTACCTTTGATAAGTTAGTCCTGCATCTCTTCAGGTATCTCGTGGGGGTTGAGTATACCAGGGACTGACATCTGTACCCTCCTCTTCTCTTCCTGAGCTACTCTTAAAGCCATCTCTCTCTCCTCTAGATACAGGTCTGTGTCGTCTTCTCCCGTGTACTCCTGAAAACATCAACACAATACTTACTGGACCTTTTGGTTTCATTCAAAATTATAAGGAACGATCATCATTTAAGAATTGATAACCCCTGTTGCAAAAACCTGTAGACTAAGAATATCCATTTGCCTGATTTGATATCAATTAGGGATGGTCAAGTCTCGAAATTTCGGGAAATTTTCGGGAAATTTTCAATCTCGTTACACGAGACGAGATTACTTTTTGGCCGAGATTTTTATCGAGACGAGAAAAAAAAAAAAAAATAAATAAAAAAAAAAATTAAAAACGCCTGCAGAAAGTCAATGCAATACCCGCAATACAGGAGCGTGTTGTAGTTGCGTTTTCTTTTCGAAGGCGTTCTTATTTAATTAATTCTTTTAATGTAAATATTACTTTAATTCTTTTAATGTAAATATTACTTTCATTATTTTAATAATATTACTTTAATAACATTTGAGAAGTTTTGTTAAGTGTAAGCAGTGTGAGGAATGTTTTATTACTATAAAAAAAGTCAAAACAAGTAACTATTTTATAAAAATTAATATTGCTTTTATTTTATGATTTATTTTATTTTAGGATAAGTTGAACTCTATCCTAACTGATATCACCATGTTTCCTAATCGTAGGCATTTTTAATAAGTTAGGCGTGATTAATAAAAAAATGTTATGCTGATGTTATTTAATGAAAGATTATAAATATTCTTGCCTATTATCATTATTTTAGTATTTAAAAATTTCGAACGTGCATTTCCCGTTGTGTATGAGAAGAGAAATCTCGTCTCGTTCTCGTCTCGAAATTTTATGAGAAATAAAAAATCTCGTCTCGTCTCGTCTCGAACTAAAAATCCAATCTCGTCCATCCCTAATATCAATTGAATAATTTTTAAACATGTCCATTTCATTCCTCAATTACAACAACAAAAAATCTTCTACAAAGGAGACAGATATTTGTTTATTTTTGCATTTTCATCTACAGTAGACTCCTGACTAATCCACGTTGCAATCCATAGATCAGATCACAAAAAAAATCAAATGAAAAAATTACATCATGCGAGTTAAATGTCCGTTATACAGTGACAACTAAGATGTTTCGTGTGAGGAGGCCCATTATATTGCGGAAATAGTTATCGTTGTTCACGTCACCGATGAGATTAAAGGTATCTACACAGTATTTAAAACGTATTATTCTGTTACCTAAACCTGTATTTGGGTTTGACTATGTATTCAAAGTGAATCTTAGTTATTTTTTAAGAATTTTATGTTTTGAACTTAATTGGAACTGATAAAAGGTAATGTAAAACCAAATATTTTATATATTACAGTTCTGGGGCTACAACAATGAATTTTAATTTTAGGTTAGGTTTGCATTATCCACGATAGCCCTGCCACTTTTTACTGTGGATAATCGGGAATCTACTGTATTTTCAAGCTTGCTGTAAAATCCTATCCGCGACAAAATCTTAAATTTTGATTTACGTGTTTGCTGTGTGATTTGACTATTTTTGCCGGTATGATGTATTTGTTGATGTTTTGCTACTTACTCTAATCTGTACGAGGAAGTCTCTGAGATGCTCCTTGAAGGCGGGTATGTCGTGGTTGAGGCTGAACATTCCCTGCACTGTCAGTTTGATCTGGTTGTCTGACAGGTGAGGAAACGCTGTCTTGAGCAATGTCGCTACGTAGTCCTGGATGTAAGTTACGTTGTCAACGTTGGCGTTCCGACTCAGCGGCACAGCTATTCTATTCAACTCTACCAACTTGAACATGTGGGCTAGGATGGTGGCGTGCATCAGCAAACCTAGAAAAGTTTACATGAATCTAAAACAGTTCACTCACAACAGTTTGACTACTGAATACAATAATAGTACAGTAGAGCAATGATTGTCAAGCCCAGTCATCCAATACAATGAGTAACTGAAAGGAAGAAAAAAACCAATATAAATTGACACACACTAGAAGTTTGGGAGACAATTACATGAGTCGTCAGGACCGCAAGATACGCTCACAGGTCTGCGGAAGATAATCAAAACCAGTAAAAAATAAACGTACTAAAAATTTAAATAATATCAATCACAGTATAAATATTGTATCTAATTCTTTCCAAAGCTATCCCCACCACAATCTTCAACTGTTTCAGATAATTAACTCTTTAATGATTGTAAATGAAACCTATAATCCTAAGTGGGCAAGTTGATGATAGATTATGCAATTAGGAGTTAGAATAAATTAATTGAATACAAAGTACCAATTTTTTTTACACTTGTGTGGGGTTGTTTCCTTATGTGCCTGAACATGGTTAAGTAAATCCAATATCCTATATGCAATTAGAGCTTTTTTCTTTTACATTTAAAATTAAAAAAAAATACTTTCACTCAATTGAGAATCAACTATGGAGTATTGGCAAAACATAAAATTGGTATTTCAGCTAAACTAAATCTTGAATGTCACGAACATATGTTTTAAGCTTAGGAATTAGATCTTTATATACTTATATTTGTTTACCTGCTGTATGCGATGTGTCCGTTACAACTGAGAAGACGTGTTGAAGTATATCTGTAAAGTATGTTACATAAAAGCTTTGTGATGCCTGTTCATGCTGTTCAACGTTAAGCATTAGCTGGTACAGGATCTGAAACAAAGAAACATGAATTATATGATAAATCACATATTTCTCCCAGCATAGTCGCAAAACGGCACACGGAAGATTTCTCAGGTGCCGTTTGACGTCACTAACTGCTGACGTCACTTTGAGGGAACACCATTACCGCAACGATTCGGTTTGAGCCGTCGGCCTCGGTGGTGTAGTGGATAGCGTGTCGGGCTGATAATCCGAATGCACTGGGTTCGAATCCCGCTGGTAGCACTAACTTTTTGACAACAATTTTTTTCATATCAGCAAGTTTGGTTGGTTTGGTTAGGTTATGACAGTTTAATTCTATAATTAAAAAATTATAAAATTGAATTTTAGGCATTTATAATTTTATTTTATGAACAAAACTATTTTTTAGATTAGTAAACCTTCATTCGATTTTTTCATTATCAGCACGTTTGGTTAGGTTATGACACTTCAATTTAATAATAGAAAAATTATAAAATTGTCTGTTCCTTCAGACGCAGCAGTTAGTGACGTCAAACAGCACCTGAGAAATCTTCCGTGTGCCCCACCGGTGCCATCAAACAATATAATCTATTTCAAATAGGCATAGGTCAATTCTGATTCTTGATTCCTCAAAATCTTTGATATATCAGTGGTGTAAAAGAATCATTGATAGAAATTTTCAGAGCCTCATGGTGATTAAATTTGCGATAGCAAAAATGACAAAAATTCAAATTTTCTGAGTGAGCGAGCAGACATTAGGTTATGGTCATCCACAGGACTTAAATTATTTTCAACTGTGCAGTATTTCAAAGATTTGTCATTTAATGAGTGGACAGCATTTTTAATGTGACAAAATTGAATTTTTCCCTGAAAAATGTTATTTTTTTACTTTATCATACTGTATGTGGTAATTTTCACAAAGATCAGTGGGAAAAAATCAAACACGTACATTTGTGAGTAAAAATGGTGGATTTCTGGTGAACAAAGCGTTTATTGAGAATATTGACAATTAATTCTTGATTTTTAAAAAAATTTTACCCATATAACAATTTTTAGGAGTTTGGAACTAACTGGACACCCTGTAAAATTACTTTTCTGTACCTGAAGTCCGGTGTCAGCTACTGGCCTCATCGTGTGTTTAAACGCCCAAATGATCGAGTCCAAGACCAGTTTGAACTGCGGAGGCGGGATGCTGAGGAACGCAGGGAAGCAATGGTTATTCACAGCCTGGAAACACAAAACGTGAAACTACTTCACCTGACAATATTTTTGAAAACTAGAAAATCATCAAAAGGTTGAATGGTGAAAAAGTAATTGCCTATAATCAGCATGCCTGACTACTTGCAAGTTGCATCTAATAACATTGTTAAAAGCTAGCGTATGCCTTATTTATCTAAGGGTGTTTGAGTTTGTTGGTCCTGACTGTAAGTGAACAGATTTTTTTTTATAAGCACAAGTTAAAAGAAAAATTATAAACCTGATTTTGGGCTGCTACTACCAATTACATGCTAATTTTTTATTTTAATTTTACTCTCAAGCATAATCTTGTACAGCTATTATTCCCGTATAAGCTTTAATGGATTTAAAAAGTATTTTGAGAGAAAGTCAAAAGAATAATCAAATATTTTCCTGAGCTGTTTTAGGAATAAATAAACATTTTGTTTTACAAGGAAAATTTCATTTTGTTTTTGTCTGATTGATTTGTATTTGCTTTGTTTTAAGCAATTCTGTAAATTGGTTTTTACCTGCTGAGACCTGCTTAAAAACAAAGAAATTTTAATGAACTTTTATTTATTTATTTATTACTTAGTACAGCACATATACAATGAATTTACAATACCAAACTGCATAAGCCTAAAAAAAGGCTTGTCCGCAGCGTTTCTTTTAATAGTAATTGTCTTTCCCATCTTTATCTTGGTCTTGAGTCAGTGTGAACTATTACTGTACAAAAATATATTTCCTACTTCTTAAAGGCCCCTATTACACGAGGTAGCCTGGCGACGTCGCCAGCGGCAGTAGCTGGCGACGCACTGGCCACCAAACCTATAACCAGTTGAGTAGCCAGTTAAGTAGCCAGAATTTTACCGCCGTGGCGCCGTTGTTGTGAGTGCTTGTCTTGCACTTGTAATTGTTATGAGCGGTGTTTACAGTGAATAATGAGTGATTATAAGTATCTTCTCCTTCTGTTACTTCTGAAGAAAAGGAGGCAAAGGAAGAGAAAAATGTACGTTCATCCAATGCTTAGTGCAAGAGAATCAAAAGGGTTATATTACACCCTTTTTGATGAGCTCTGTGCGGACAATAAAAAATGTTTCAATTATTTTCGTATGTCACAATCCTGTTTCTTCGAGTCATAAAGGATGATATAGACATTTTATCAACTGAAATGAACAATTCACACACTCACAACACAACAGAACGCAACACAACAGTGTGCAAGTACCCCCGTGATATGAACTAACCGAGTGGCGACGTAATACTGGCGACCTAGTGTAATAAGCTCCATATGCTACAACGCAGCGTCGCCAATATGGGTAGCCAGTGGCTACCACAGTGGCGACGGGGCTCGGTAGCCAGTCGGTCGCCAAAGTGTGGCTGCGTCGCTGGCTACCCTCGTGTAATAACATCCATAAGAATCAATGCCCCATAACAAGCTGAGTAGCCAGTTTGGTCGCTGGCGACGTCGCCAGGCTACCTCGTGTAATAGGGGCCAAACAGTAACAAATGTGGCTTATAACCATGTTACATGATTGCAAACAATTTAAATATTGAAGGGGCAAAAAAAAACTGTAGAAAAATAAATTAAATTAAAAAAAAAGAACAAGTGTAAATATGGAAGGAATCTTCTTAAAATTATTTAACATGAGTATATATTTTCAGATTACAAACATTTTTTAACAAACAAATAAATATCTAACAAGGGAATAATAATTTATTTTTGTGTATTATTTTTTGTTAATATTGTGACTGACATTTTTGTCAAATAACTTTTAGTCTAAACCCCCCGCTACTATAAATCAACCAATTTTTATAGATAGCAATATTAGTTTGTAAAGAATCGAGAAATATCTTCAAGATCCAGAATCAAAACAGCAACCTTGATATTTAAAGTGCTAAAACCAGTCGACAAATCTGAATATGAATGCAATGAGTGTAGAGTGAGATTTTCAGTTTATAGCGTTACAACTGACTAAGATCAGTCAGAATGTTTTTTAAAAGCCCAATAATTAAGGAAAGATTAGCCTAGTTTCGAACCATCAAAAAGCTGAGTAGTACTTTTCTGACCATCAAACCAGCGACCTGATTACTCAAGACAAGCACTATCAACACTCAGGTATTATGTTCCCAAGTTGAATTACCTGTAGTAAGAGGAAAAAGTATGTTCTGTGTTCAGGATATTCCTCAAAGTCCTTGTTGATCATTTCCAGCGTGCACTCAAAGACGGCGTCAAAGATCTTGGGCACTTCACTGGTAATATGACCTTCCAATTTGTTGACTATGGTGGACATTGCAAGTAAAACTTCCGGTTCTCTGGCGGCAGGGACTGTACATCTGTTATAATCCATGAGGACGGCGTCTAGCAGTGGCGGGATGAAACTTTCCAATACCTGACAACAAATACAGCGTAGGTATCAGCAAACTGACACATACTTTAGGGATAACTGGAGCATGAAGTTTCCTTAACTATTGTAGGATTCAGTCTAAACAACAAAAAACTAACACTAAATGGAACTTTTTATTCATTCAATACCACTCAATTTCTATAACGATATACAATTAAAGGTTTAGGTTATGTCTATGTCTCGTTTCAAACCTAACCCAAAGTAGCCCTTTACAGGTTTTCAAATAATTACATTTCAACTTAGAAATCTAGCTAATAATTAACTATTATCCGAATCAACTATAATAAAACTTCATTTTTAGCATGTATAAGCAGTTTAACACACCCACTAAGGGTTTTGGTTGCAGTTGAGCTAAAAATCGCATAAAAAACATGCAGTCAATTAAAAGTTCTACTTACTATGACATGATCATTAGACCTCTCAATCCAGTCTGATATAAGCCTGAGGATTTCTTTCTTCACCACTCTCATGCTCTTGATCAGGGGCTGCTTCGTAACAGCTTCACCGTTCAGAGAAATCGCTGACGTTATATTTGAACTCATCACCTTATAAAGGTTTAACATGTCCAAACATATCCTTCCCAGCTGAAAGATTATAAAAAAAACGTTAAAATATTTGTTTAACTATGATTTAGCCCATGCTTGTTTTTCGCATTACTTAAGAGTAGGCATAGAGATCGCAGCATTATCACTCACATAAGATTAATTGGTGATTTTTGAGATCTGAACCTGGAACCTTGGGTATTAAAGTCCCGTGTTTTACCACTAGGCCAGCTTGCTCGCAAAATTAAAAATGTTAATGAAAATAATGTTGTGTGTATACGTAATAAATTAAATATGTATCTAGTTTATGCTACTTTTGTTTTTCAACACTTAACTCTTATGTAATATGAAGACTGAGAAAAAATAAAAAGTAGTGAGCATTACAATTCATGATTGCATATCAGTTATCGATTCTTCGACACACACTAAGTAACTTAAGTTGCAATAGCTTTTGAACCGTAATGTTTACAAAGTTGGGGGTTGTACCATTTTGTTTAGGGTTAAACTGACTTTAACACTATTTCCAAAAAAAATCATTAGGGCTGATTCTATGAAAATTATATTTTCTGTTATTAATAGCTTAGTATGAGATAAATAAATTTGATATATTTTGATCAAAATAGATCCATAAACAAGCAAACTAAATTGTTTACAATATTCTCCATAAGAATAACATAGGAATTTTAAATTTACAATTTTTTGAATTTTCTCCATTACCAATAAAGGTATAAAAATTAGAAAAACCTATTTTTACCCCATAAAACCCTGTTCCCGTGGTCCAATCATGCTGGTTCGCGAACTCATTCAAGTTTATCCCGCCTTCCACTTTTCAACAAATTTGATCAAAATCTGACAAAAATTACCCAAGTTATCACGTATAGAGTAGTGTTCATGGACACAACTCTATATATATAGATATAAATACATACCTTATACAAATTTGAACGAATGGTGTTTTTGGCCTCTGGGGACATCAAAATGAAAAAGTATATCGGTCCCGAGCCTATGTCTTACCTAGGGTAATACCTACTTCCCTACAGGGAAATTCGCTAAAATCATGGAAAAACGCCTGGAGATACCACATGGTCAATATGTATTACCTGAGTCTAATCAAAACATACACTTTATGCTTACACTTAACATTTTGGTTACTGTGTAGTGAACATGAACGCACCTGAGAGACATAAGGGTGGCACAAGGCTTTACAGGCTCTGACGTTGGTTTTGAGAATGCTAATCAGCTGTTTTACAGCATCTGGCTCCTTTAGGACATCTACATTCTGAAACAGAAAAAAATCATTAAGAAAAAAACGTTGATTCATAGATCTATAATTTTTTTAGACATTGATTAAATTCATTTGTGATTTATTTTCTATTTTTGATTTAACCAGACGCCATATTTTTGGCTAACAGTCAGTAAATTTTTAGGCAATTCAGTACAACCATTGAAATTTGACTTAGTAAACACTAGGGGTCTTCAGTGAACCGAAAAAGTTGGTATGGTAGGGTTCCAATTACCGCCATCGCTTTGGTACAGCATTTTCCTTGGTACAATTTCGGTTTGGTACAGCCTACAATAATTAATTACTTTCAATAATTCACAATCGTAGTAAAAAAATATTTTCCTTCAAACAGTAAAACTAATAAGACAAGCCATATTTCTCAATGGATTTACTTAGTTGCCGCACAAAGTGAGCGGATGCCATGCAGACCCGATGTAAGCAAAAGTGGTCTAAATGTGAAGAAGAAAGACTCCATCATCTCCTATGCACCCGACGATGTAGTAATCCCTGAAACGACCGTAGTGCTGCAAAGAATGCACCTCTGATTGCGAAGACGGTAAGGAATAAATATATTTTGATACATTTTCATGCAATCTGCCACACTCAAGTATAGTAGAGAGTTTGTAGCTTACCCTGGCAGCCTGACTTATTATAGAGTCCCAGCACTGGTTGGGCAGCATCATGTATTTCTCTATCAGTAGCTCTTGTTGAACTGTGTCGGTCTGAGCACTAATCATGTAACCCACGGCCTCGTAGAACGTGTGAACCTGAGCAAGGACAACAATTCAGTCCACATCCAGATAGCTGAACATCAGGAAAAACTGAAGGTATAAACTCATATAAATATTTCTTCCACAAGAAAAATTGTAGACGAAGCAATGCACAAGATTTAATTTAATGAAGTAAAAACAATAAAGTTTGTTCATTGCTTAAAGATAAATTTAACAGCGATCATGTTGATAACATTTGTAAAAAAATAGGTGTGTATGCATTAAGAGAAATGAAAAGATTTATTAGTTTTAAATCCAAAAAATAGCATAGAAGATTCACAAATTTCTTTTGGGTAATACCTTTATGGTGACCAACCAACAAATAATTTACTCTGGAGCTTAAAAAGAGGCGATTCACATTATGTTAAATTAAAATTAAAAGAATCTGCTAAATAACATTTAAAAAAAAAATATAAACTATGACCGTTTTTAGTTTTTTTATTATAGATTTACGAGAAAACAACATCTTATTATGGAATTATTTTAACAACAAACCTAAAAATAGACGGTATATAAAATATAGCTCATTTTAATTTCTTCAAAAGACATTATTCCTAGTCAGAAGACTTTTACATACATTCCCTCAACTTCTTCAAATTTGATCTACTGATAATAATTTTTGCTGTAAAATAGTCTTGAGATGTAATTTTGTTTTAGACTTAATAAATTTAGTTTTACGTTATTGTACATTACTATATTCTGCATATTTATATATCTGCTTATGAATAGCCTAAAGTTATGTTGATTCAACACATTTATTTATACAGGGTGAATAAAAAGTCAAGACCCCCCCCTCTAATATTTTTCCAAGTAAATATACAGAGATATCCTTTTGGTGGTCGAGCAATCTTAGCAGGAAGTTTCGTTTTATCATTTTGAAATTTTTGAGTGTCCCCCCAAAAGGGGGGATTTGGGGGGCAACTCAAATATTTTAAACGTAAACCCCCTTCAAGTGACACCTCATTTTGAAGTGTTAACAAAAACTTAAAGAATGGTGAAAACTAGAGGTCGCTATCTCTTCTCTATCCAAAATGGTAGCCCGTCAAATGTTGTGGAAAATCAACGGTAAAATTGTTAATATTGGCTGCTATTTTGGATAGAGAAGAGATAGCGAGCTCTGGTTTTCACCATTCTTTAAGTTTTTGTAAACACTTCAAAATGAGGTGTCACTTGAAGGGGAATTACATTTAAAATTTTTGAGTGTCCCCCAAAAGGGGGGATTCGGGGGACAACTAAAAATGTTTCAATAGAAACCCCTATCAAGTGACACCTCATTTTGAAGTGCTTAAACAAACTTAAAGAATGGTGAAAACCAGAGCTCGCTATCTCTTCTCTATCCAAAATGGCAGTCAATATTAACAATTTTACCGTTGATTTTCCACAAAATTTGACGGGCTACCATTTTGGATAGAGAAGAGATAGCGACCTCTAGTTTTCACCATTCTTTAAGTTTTTGTTAACACTTCAAAATGAGGTGTCACTTGAAGGGGGTTTACGTTTAAAATATTTGAGTTGCCCCCCAAATCCCCCCTTTTGGGGGGACACTCAAAAATTTCAAAATGATAAAACGAAACTTCCTGCTAAGATTGCTCGACCACCAAAAGGATATCTCTGTATATTTACATGGAAAAATATTAGAGGGGGGGGGGGTCTTGACTTTTTATTTACCCTGTAAATCACAAAACACATGTCCACATCGTGTAGACAATGAATTAGTCACCATACAACAGAGTAGCCACACAGGCATTAAACAAGTAATGTCTTCAGGTTTAAGATCAATTCAAGACCAACAACAAAGCTGGAAACACAACTCACTTGTTGGGTTTGGAGATCACAGATTATGGTGCTAATACTACTGAGGATTTCCTCGATAAAAGGCATCACTTCGCCCACTTGCACTGTCACAAAATGTCTTTTGCACTTTATGGCTATTTTAATAAAAGTATCACACGCCATGTCCTGTACACCATCATGCGTTTCTGAAAAGGAAAAAACTAGATAATCACAGATAACATTATATTTAATACATTACGAGAACTTAAAAATACCTATCACTCAATTAGGATAAGCAGGCTTACCTTAAGAAATGTAGGCATCCCACTTCATTCACTACAGAACACAGAAGAAAACACAAACAAAATAAACACTGGATATTTCGAGGCCACTGGCCCCTTTCTCAACATGGAGAGTCACATTAGATATTTAGAGTGTTTCACTGGTAAGGAAGCAGTGTTGCCAACACACTATGAATTTACAAATGAATATTTACAGGTTAATGAGTCATTGATTTTATTTACACTTAGTCTAAGCCTGCTTTTTAGGTGTGGAAGGGGAAAAAGAAAATGTTAGGCCTATCTGAGATTGAGGTTTGGGGGCTCCCTGGATTTTGTGAACCATTGATAAGAGAGTTCCCATCTCCTTAGTTGTGATGGGTTACAGGTGGGAGGGAAAGATCTTATTATTTTTGAATTGAAACAACTGTTTAACACAATATGCAAGATTGTGGCTTTTTTTTATTACAAGATTGTGCAAGATTTAGTGAAAAACTCTAAATATCTAATGTGACTCTCCATGTTGAGAAAGGGGCCAGTGGCCTCGAAATATCCAGTGTTTATTTTGTTTGTGTTTTCTTCTGTGTTCTGTAGTGAATGAAGTGGGATGCCTACATTTCTTAAGGTAAGCCTGCTTATCCTATCCTTTCTCACACCTATTCTCAGGGAATTAGCCCTTTCTCTCCAAACCAATCACTCAATTAGAATATGGATACCAGCTAGCTTACCTTGAAAAATTTTAAATGTTTAACTTCAGAATTTCTGGAGGAAACTTGCTGTTAAAAAGTAAAGTAAAACCAACTAGTACCTATTCGTACATTGAAGTGTTGAAAGAAAAAACAATCAATTACGTACAAATCCAAGAAGGAAAATATCAATAAAAATTTTTTAACATGATTATCTCCACCAATCGTAGTAAAACCCGTGATATCTTACAGTCTTGGCAGTACTGTGATCGACAATTATCTTACTAAGGCACTATTAATTTAAAGGAGAACCAACTGAACACTGCTTAGGAATGGGCGCAATAGGCCATTGGCAATAATTCCAAATGTCCCTGACTCATACAAAATACAATTGAAAGGGTTGGTTTTCGGTCTGCTGGGCACTTAGATTTACTAATCTTTAGTGGATACCCGACATATTAAGTGTAGGCTATATTAAGAGTGACTTACCATGCATGAACTCAAAAAGTTTATTAACCACAGTCTTCAGGAATTTCCAGTGAGCCCGCAGGAACCTCGGGTATTGTCCTACCACGTACATGATATTGGAGGCGATGATCGCTTTGTTGTCTTTGCCTTTCTTCTGCTCACACAGTCCTAGTAGGTCTTTGATCACAGTCACCAAGAATCTCTTCTCGTCTTCTTCATGCATCGCCCCCGAGATGCTGCCTATCGCCCAGCACAGCTAAAATCAAACCTCTGATGAGTACAAATATTGCAAGGTGTGGGGAAAAAGTCATTTTTCCTTTTTTCAATAAGTTTGACGTAACTTTTTATAATTTTTTTTAATGAATTCTAGTACTAAATGATGATGTAACTGTTATTTGTAGGTTCACCATACAAGTAGTTTGTTTTATATTGTATGAAATATAGAGGTGTGCGGATAGTGAAATTTCATTTCGGATCGGATTCGGATCGGATAGTTGAGGCTCGGTTCGGATCGGATCGGATATTGGGAGGTTCGGATTTGGATATTTTCGGATTCGGATAGTTCGGCGCGGTTAATAATAAGCTGCATATGTATTTTTAACCTACAAAACAATGTAAAGCTGTGTAAATAAAAAATGACGATTTTGAACTATAGAATTTCAAATTAGCCAGGTCCACAGTTTTCTCTCTCTTGAAAATCACAATTCACAACATTTATTTTCAAAAGTTGGTTGCTTGAATTAAGTACACTAGCAGCCGAAATCTTCACAAACACCTTAGCTCAGCAGGACTTGTGTCAAACGTTTGGGCTTGTTTACTTGAGGTTATGATTTATCTTGTTTCCTGGTTCTCACAAGCCAAGGAGTTCGATCTCAATTTTATTTTCACATTGTATTATGTATTTCCTTACGTTTTTGGAACAGATTATTGGGCTTAAGTGGCATTTTGTGGGTTTGCCAAGTGTAGAATCACTAATGCACTAAATTGGCTCTAGCTCACGATTTGATGTTGGGCAATTAGACTTTATAACTGTGTAAAAGGTGTGTATCCCTGAATTTATAAATTGCATTCTACACATATTCACTGCCAAACATAATTCAGTAGAACCTTGATGAACCGAGAATTACACTAGCCTAGACATAACTTCATTACCCCAAGTAAAATACCAAGATAATCTTTATAATTGTATTTGAATCGTATAATCTTAGTTTGTTAAAAATGGATTGTATGTTCAACAATAATTGCAGTCCATTATTGTTAAGCAGTATGGTCCCAAATTATTGTTTTTGATTTTGAAACATCACAGTTCATTTGACAAAATTATAATTGAAGCAGCCCAATGTCAAGTCACGCGCGCTTGTGCAATAGTTTGTTTACAAGCTTTCTCCAGACCATGGGGGAGGGGAGGGGAGGGTCTGATAAGCCGTCTATTGTTCACCCCCAAGAAGGTCCGACCCTCATTAGTGCCGCTCGGCTGCACTCAAGTGTTTTACCCCCTGCTGTGCGCTATGTCATAAAAGCTGATAACGTTGAATGCGTGATAAGGGAAACCCAAGAAATAGAAGAACAAAGAGAAAGAATAATGACGTTGTTATCTTTATTCCCTTTTTACAATTTCCGTTATTTTTTGTTATCTTTATGTAAGATTTTATGATTTTGTTTTATAGGTTTATAAAACAATTCTTTTTAACTACGGGAATATCAATTTATAATTTATCAACGTGCTTCTCTTCTGAAACAGCAATACCGGATGCATAATAAAGGTCAATGACCTAAAATATCACGATTGTGCAATATTGTATTTTGATGTTGAAATTAAAATCACGACAAAAGTTTGTATATATCCATGGTCCCTATCGTTTAATCATTTAATATGTACACAATAAATGCTAAATAATCGTGGTTAGTTCTAACTTTATTTTTTATTATTCAAAGTTTCTACACAGTAAGACAATCCAAAGTCAAACCGGGCAATGAATGCCCAAAAAACAACGTATCTTGTCCTGTGATTGGAATACCACTCGCCGGCCAGTCCTTTCGGTTTAGGGAAGTAGTGCAAGTCTATACATAGCTTCAAGGTCTTACCCACCCCTTCCCCCTCCGGTCCTACTTGACTCACTACCCACTTGACTCACTACCAGCGCTCCTTTCGAGGTTATTGCCCAACCCCTCCCACCCTTCTATTGTGTTGCCTTTCTATTGTTTCTATTCTGACTTTTTTTCGGGAAACATTTAATCTATTGTTTACTAACATCACAGTAGTAGGCTAGATTTTTCTACTTTGAAACAGTACTGTAAAAAAACTATTACGCAGCGCCCCTAGTATCAGGAGCAAGACAAGTACGAGTTGACTTTCATTTGACCATGGTAGTTCTTTTCTTCTTTATGTCTGTTCGTTCCAGACGAATCTAATCGTAAAGCAAAACAGCCGATAACGACTAAACTAGTTATCAGTATTGCATCATACGGCTTCTTTGCCGTTTGCTGTTAGGTCGTTGGAAACGTATTGCTGTAATTTTGTCCTGGGAAACTAATGGTGGTTATGGAGGTTTTCTGTCCAAAACGTCAAAATGTATTGTCTATCCGAAAAAGTCGGATATATAACGGATAGTGTCGGATATCGAATTTGGGCTCGGTTCGGATACGGATATCCGAACCGAACCGAATCCGACCCGATTTTTCGGATATCCGCACACCTCTAATGAAATAGTCACTTGACAATATTTATATCTTACAAACACTAAATAATCCTTGAAACTTAACAACTTACAATAAAAAAAAACACTAAATCCTAAAACACAAAATTAGAAATAAACTTCCTTTAAAACAAACACAAACGTAACTGTTTTTATTCAGTAAAAAATATAGTTATAAAAATAAAATTTGATTTTGATACTAACCGTGTTGAGGTTTTTCCACGACCACTCCGTGCCGTTGACCTGATTTTGCAGTTTCTCCGTCATGACTCTCTCCGTGTCTTCGTAGTCCAGGTGAGTGAGGTACACAAATGTCTCTCTCATGTTCTTGTACAGGTTGATTGCATCTGTGTCCTTCATGAACTCCCTGACGACTTCTCCGTTCTCGTTTTCCACCACCAACACTTCCTCGGGTTTGGCCATTCGACAGATCATGATGTAGCGAACCTGTAACAAGAATCATAGCAGGATAGTTATAATGAAGGCTAACCAAAAAAAGGTTTAATATAGGCAGGTAGGGTGGGTTTAATAAGGTTGACCAAAAAAGGCTATACAGGCACTTTCAAACCGTGTCCCTACTGCAAGCTGCAAGGACGTTTTTAAGGAACTATAGTATGTTTCATCACCAGAGCGTAAAGTAACTCTTTTCAAACAGATCAAGTTTCACAAGCTCAAGCAAAACGAGTGAGGGTTGAAAAGACACTTTTTGCCCGAATGAACAATATTTTTTGTTATATTGCAAAATTATTAACAAATTAAGCTACAAAACATACTTTTCATGTAAACCTTTTTTTTCAATTATGCTAATGTAAATAAGAAGCTGTTTAGTAAGTGCTTGTACATTCACAAACTGTAAGCACGTGGCTAATGCTAAAATCATTGGTTACTAATTAATTGGTTTTTCGGTTTAAACGAGGAACATTTATTATTTAATAATAAAGAGGAAATGTTCAAAATTTATATTTTTTTATCGGATAGTCTAATTGAAATAAATATTCACAGTATTTTATAATAATGATGTGTCTAGGAAAAATAGGAGTTGGAATAGTTTTATTAACAAATTGCAGGTTTATTAAGTAATGATGATGGTATGATTTATGTATCATACCTTGGTGAGAACTGGTGCATAAAACTGTCTCCGAGGAGGGATGTTGGCGTTGAACTTGGAGGCGTAAATGGGAGTCTGATTTGTGTAGGGACTTTCTCTATACAGATCTGCTGCCAGTCCATTCCAATATTCCAAACATATCTTGAATATTTCTACTTCTTCTACTTCTGAGATTAAAACCAAATATTGCAACGCCTGAAACACAAGATTATCATTAATTAGTGATGTGCTCTATGGAATGCATGATTTTTTAATGCAAGTTGTCGAGTCTTCATCCTAGTAGAGGATGAGAAAATGACAAGCAAGTCATAAAAAAGTAATAGTTTCAGAAGAAAACATTTCTTAAAATTTATATATTTTTAACGTTTTAAATATATTAATCACTATATTTCTCACCATTCTGATTTTGTTTAGTTTTGTTTTTGTTTAAACTCTTTCTCTACACTTGACAAAGTCCCTCAGAGGACGAAACATTGTGTGCACAGTGTATCTTCTAGATGTTCTATGGCCTACATATACTTTCAAAGTAAGCTAGCTGATATCCTCCTTTTTCTACAATTCAAAATCCTGGCCTAGAGCCTTGAACAAAACTATATTTCTCACCAGGTAAACAACTTTCTGATAATTATTTTTATTACAAAATACATAGGCTAATTAAAACATGAAATTTACTAACCAACAACAACGTCTCCGTCCATCCTTTTTTCTCCACAAGACTCCCGTGTTCTTTCAGGAACGTGCAGAGAAACATGGCTAAATTCTGGATAAAGTTCTGCTCAGCATCTTGCCCGCTTGCATATGCTTCTTTGATGTTTGTATGAACTGGTAGCATCTGTTAAAAATATTATTAATGATTCTCATTTATTAGAGGTATTATTTTTTTTAAACATTATTAGGACTATAATTCTAGAATTGCATTGTCCAGTTTTACACATTCACTTACATACCTTTAATAAAATATTGTAAAAATGTCAGATGTATTCCCTATTCAAATACCGGTAATTTTAGATTGAACAAGTTCTTAGGTTTGCTTCAACGGAGAAGGTAATAAAGCATGTTTTTTAGTGAAATGTTAATAGGTACAGTATAGCCTACCATATGAGACCTACAGTAATAGTTTATTCCCTTTATAGGAAATTTGCTAACTTAGTGCTAAAAATTTAATAGGTATGAAAATATTTGTCCCTTTGAATTCCTTAAATGCTTGTACAGTAAAGTTCCGTGAAATTGAGCCCAAATAGTAGCAATCTGGATTTCTCGGCAAACTAGATGAGATTTTTTTCCATAGTTGTACATAACCCCAATGTGTTATATACAGGGTGTTGAAAATGTCTGGAACCAACATTATATCTGGTGAGTGGTTAAAGAAAAACTGATATTTTGTGTACGGATATACTATATCTTTTGGTGCCTTATGAAATTTTTTACCACTTATAGGGAACGTCCTGTGGAGGATGCAGTAAAAAGTTTTAATGGAAGCCTATCGGTAAATGATACATCATTTTAGAGGCTATTTTTTTCTGAGTAAGGAGCCACAAGTTTCATCTCAAAAGGACCACCATAGCAAAAATGGCGACTGTTTGAAATTTAAAAACCCACTTATAGAGAACGTCCTGTGGAGGATGCAGTAAAAAGTTTTAATGGAAGCCTATGGTAAATGATACATCATTTTAAAGGCCATTTTTTCTGAGTAAGGAGCCACAAGTTTCATCTCAAAAGGACCACCCTAGCGAAAATGGTGACTGTTTGAAATTTAAAAACATTGCTATTTAAATGGTCCGGATTTGTTTCCTTTAAATGCTATTACAAGCCAGTTACGAAGTACAGTAGTTTATCACGTGGTGAACTAAAAATGACTTTTAAAGTGTTGAATAAGATTTAAAATTCTAATTATTAAATTTTTATGTAGAAAACAGATAAATAAAACAATGACTTACAGATTTGTAGTTGGTTCTGTTCTATGATGTTCAAGTTACAAAGATTACCAACAGGGTGCAGCACTATTATTTTTTTAAATTTATGACAACAGCTAATTTGCAACCAAAAGGTGAGTGAACGTGGCGAACGAACTTTAACCTGGAGGCGAGTTAGCGTAGCGAACGAGCTAACCTGAAGGCAAGTGAGCGCAGCGAACGAGCTCCAACCTAAAGGTGAGTGAGCGTAGCGAACGAATTTCAACCAGGACGTGATTGAGCCATGCAAACGAGCTCACTTATGAAGTTAAACAGGGCAAAGTCCGTGGGTACAGCTAGTGTGTTATATGGCCAGAGCTTGTGAGAATGTACTGTGGGTTAATGTTGAGATGGCTATTAGGAGACACATCTGTTTTAGTTGAAAAATGTCTTTAGGTTAGTTTTAAATTAAGCTAATGAACCTTTTTAAGAAAGGGAAGTTCCTGTCAAATATTAAGTATTAAACCGCAAACCCCTGCTGTCCAGCACATAGGCCTAGACACAAAATTCTAAAAATATCATCTCCCATAAAATTAACAGTTACAGTTACAGGTTTGGCTCCCACTAAGCATACTATTAATAGTTTGTTTGGATTAATTTTGGTCATAACATAAAATTTTTAAACATAGGCCTACTCTAAAAACATTCAAAACCTACCTGTTCCAATTGACTCATAGTTTGTTCAAACAGTTTGTTGAACATGGCATCGTAGTTTGGGACGGTAACTCCAGCAATCTCGGTCAAACACTTTAATGTCACATTTCTGAACATTGGTACATTTAAAAACTGAAACAAACAATGTCAAAGTTAATAATGGAGTAAAACAAATTCGCAATGAGATGTATAGCTTTATTTTCAGTTAAACCTACTTTTGATAAGTAGGCTAGGCATATTAGGAATATAAGTGGCAGTTAGCGGAAAGTTTAGGTACAGTCCTAATCACCATTGTTCTTTATGTTTTTTGGGTCGCTGAACACGAATATGAGGTTTGCTGACAGATATTATGCCCGGAACATTGTTTTTTTTACGAAAAAAGTCAAAATTCGGGTATTTTTTTAGGTTTTTGGGCTAAAACTTGGTGTAAATGGGTTTTCTGAAAATACCCTGGTTTGTAAAATTAAAGAGCATAAAATTTACTACAAGTTTTATATATAACACTTGTTTCTACGACAAACCGTTACATCACTAGAGCACACTAAAAATAGGTAAAAATACCAAAAATGTAAATAAACGCTAAATTGTGCCGTTTTGCATTTAGTCAGAGAAATATAGGATATGACTTTAAAAAAATTTCAAGAATACGTTTTATGGTTTTCTTTTGTAGTGTTGGGTCTGCAGAGTGACATACTAAAAGTTGCCAAAAATCGGTCCACAGGAAACCACCTAAAATCACGATTAAAAATGGCGGCTTTTCCCAACATTGGTCAAGTTTGAAAAAAAGATACCACATGCATTCTTTGTTTAAAATTCTTTGAGATATTGAATTGGGACGGCCACCGATGTTTATTGGGTGGTTATTACTTCATTTCAATAGCAAACTCATTTTTGGCCGCCATCTTGGATCCGCCATATTGGATATAGATAAAAATATGTAAAAGTAATGATAACGTTGTGACACATCATTACAAACTAGATTTTCACGCTGATGTCAATGCCGAAATCCGTTTTTAAATATCTTTTCACGTTTTGAAGATATATTCAAACGAAAACTCTTCCCCATACATTTCTTATGGACGTTTCGTACTTCCGTAGATTTTTTAAGAAAATTTTTCTTACATCTCCAGTTCTGATCAACGCTTGCAGTTCAGTCTAGCCTTTAAATATTCTGTGATGTAAGGGCTTTCATTTGACCTATTGATCATTCAAATCGAACAAGTTAGAGACGAGCTACAATCCTCAAGACAATATTAAATTTAACTTTTTATAAATCTTTTTTTATTCAAAGATTTATATCTCGGGTTGTTAATATGTCACCAAGTTATTTGTGGTCTCAAATTACTCATTTAATGTTTGGCTTTATTTTGATTAATCATTTAATAAAATCTGACAACTTTAAAATGAGCCGTGTGCCTTCTTTTAACATAAAATAATTTTTATTTTGAAATTTGTCTTTAGTTAAATACATATATTCCCAATTATAAATAACTTCCAAAACTCTTTATGATCTTAAATAATTCGTCAAAGTATTGAGTTTTATTTTAGCTAAAGATTACTTATTGATTGTTATTTATAATTTTAGTATATATATATGAGTCTTAAACTAAAGACAAATTTATAAATAAAAATAATTTAATGTTAAATGAAAGTCCACGACACATTTTAGATTTGTAAGATTTTATATAGTGATTTATATAGTGATTAATAAAATTAAAGCCAACCATTTACTAAGTAATTCAAAATCAACTCAAGATATAAATCTTTTAATAAAAAAAGTTAAATTTAATATTGTTTTGAGGATTGTTATCTAACTTGTTCGATTTGAATAATCAATAGGTCAAATGAAAGCCCTTACATCACAGAATATTTAAAGGCTAGACTGAACTGCAAGCGTTGATCAGAACTGGAGATGTAAGAAAAATTCTCTTAAAAAATCTACGGAAGTACGAAACGTCCATAAGAAATGTATGGGGAAGAGTTTTCGTTTGAATATATCTTCAAAACGTAAAAAGATATTTAAAAACGGATTTCGGCATTGACATCAGCGTGAAAATCTAGTTTGTAATGATGTGTCACAACGTTATCATTACTTTTACATATTTTTATCTATATCCAATATGGCGGATCCAAGATGGCGGCCAAAAATGAGTTTGCTATTGAAATGAAGTAATAACCACCCAATAAACATCGGTGGCCGTCCCAATTCAATATCTCAAAGAATTTTAAACAAAGAATGCATGTGGTATCTTTTTTTCAAACTTGACCAATGTTGGGAAAAGCCGCCATTTTTAATCGTGATTTTAGGTGGGTTCCTGTTGACCGATTTTTGGCAACTTTTAGTATGTCACTCTGCAGACCCAACACTACAAAAGAAAACCATAAAACGTTTTCTTGAAATTTTTTTAAAGTCATATCCTATATTTCTCTGACTAAATGCAAAACGGCACAATTTAGCGTTTATTTACATTTTTGGTATTTTTACCTATTTTTAGTGTGCTCTAGTGACGTAACGGTTTGTCGTAGAAACAAGTGTTATGTATGAAACTTGTAGTAAATTTTATGCTCTTTAGTTTTACAAACCCGGGTATTTTCAGAAAACCCATTTACACCAAGATTTAGCCCAAAAACCTAAAAAAATACCAGAATTTTGACTTTTTTCGTAAAAAAAACAATGTTCCGGGCATAAAATCTGTCAGCAAACCTCATATTCGTGTTCAGCGACCCAAAAAGTATAAAGAAAAGTGGTGATTAGGACTGTACCTAAACTTTCCGTTAATTTTCCTAAGATGCCTAGCCTTAGGTTCAGTTTCTGTTTGAAAGCCTTTATCACTTTAAGATAAAAAATCAGTATGAAATACAAGATATCCTATTATGTTTTGTGACTTTTTACTGGTTATCTACTAGCCTCTGGACTAACTTTCTCAGGTAAACTAGTTGAACTCCTTCCACTCTCAATCAAAATTAATAACTTTTAAATTGATGGACAAAACTAGAACAAACAGTAGCTTATTGGTAGTGTCTAATAATAACAAATTAAACCAAAGATTTAAAATAGGCCTATAGCTAGTACACTTCTCATTATGCTTTTCAATCTGAAATTGTTTTGATGTGTTTGTTATGCTAGTTTAAATATAGATTGTTATTGTTGTACTTAGTTACATGTTGGTGTCTTTTAACCATTCCAGGACTATAGGCGGATATATCCGGTTGAATTTTGTGCAGACGGATGTATCCGCTTATCTTTTTGGGCTCCGCGGAGATTAGGCGGATACATCCACCGATTATTACGACATTTATTGTAATAGTTGATTGTCTATAACATCATTAATCTTAGTAAAATTGTCTTTTTATTCAATTAGTTATATCTTTCACCAACACTAGAAATGTTTTTTTATTAAAAATTGTACACAAAAATATTTTTTATGAAAAAATTAAAAAATAAATTTTGGACAAAAGTGCTGCATGGTGGCCGTCTGGGAAGGGTTAAATGCAGTCTAGAATTATCACCGTACAGCCCAGTATTAGAACAAAAGGTTTAAATTACCTGTATCTGTCAAGTAATCCTAGATTGTAGTTGGTTGGCTGTTTCGTGTTCATAAACACATCTTCAGGTCAAATGTTTCATTGATTTATTCCATGGAATGGTCGTCATGAAGTTAAAAGTTCACGAATAACTTTTACATGTACATTTAAAACATTTACATAATTTTTTAAATTTTTTATGTACATTTTTTGATTGGGGTGTTACATTTGTGAACTTTTGAATAGGTAAATCAATGTAACATTTGACCTGAACATGTCTTTGTGAACACAAGACAAGAGCTGTAGTCAACCAACTACAATCTACGATCACTTGACGGATACAGGTAATTTAAACCTTTTGAACGTTGTAAAAATCAGTGACTCAGAGGCTATACCATAAAAATGAGACCAGTATTATTATGAATGTATGTCCTGAATATAATGGGATGTATAATAAAATCTTCTTTTCTTACCTTAAATATCAAGGTCGTTATCAGTTCGGTTTCGAAAATGTATCCTAGAGGAATCCAATTGAGAAACCTTAAAAGAGTTTCCAGCGTTGATGCCACAAGTGGTGCATTTTGGGATTTGTCCTGAAATATTATTGAAAATTATATCTTTGTTTAGCTATCACAAGTCTTAACAGAAGTCAGAAAACAAGTAATTGTATTAAGTGCAATTAAAGGGCTTGTAAAAAATCCTATCAAATAAATAATCTTAATTTTAGTTAAGCCACTCAATAAATTATGTACATCTAATTGGCTTATATCAAGCACTCTATGAATAATTCACATACAAACATTTAGATGAGCTAGGGACTGTGAAATGCACAGATGTTACAGTAAACAACATGTGTGTTGATTTTAATATGCCATCTCCAATCAATTAAAAACAGCAACTAACTCAAGCTAGCCTACATGACTATACAAAAAGCAGTTAAAAAGTAGACAAGTCAATGACAATTGATATGGATTGTAGCTATGACGTAAATATTCAGCACTAATCAGAAAATTAAATAAGTAGTATCTAATTATCATTACATTACTTTAATGTTAAGTACAATGCTTTATTTTTTTTATCGAGTGGGCTAATCTAAATTTAAAATTCTTAGCCAGATAATGACTAATACAGATTTAACCACCATTCAAACAAATTACATACCACCTACTCTATTACATGTCAAGTGTTTTCATAATTCACTAAGTTATAAGTAGGGTGTGTTTGTGTGATTTTTTTTAATTACATAAATTGCATAAAAGCTTAAATAATATCCAAGGTAGTATACTTATTGGATTGCCGATGACGTTTCAAGATTAAGATTACCAATGATTTTGGACACATTAGTAGCTTATGTAGCTCCAATTATTCACTATCTCAAAATATAAGCATTGAACGATTCATACAGCAAGCTGTATCCCAGATCATGTCTTATAGTCACGGTGATTTTGCAATCTTTTCAAGCAATCGCAATAACACTTGAAAGCATCTTTCGGCAATTGTGACTTTCTTATCAAAAGCGACACTACCGGTTTTCCTAATCGATTGGACATCCTTTCTGACACTTTGTTTTATTAAAATCTCACAGCAAAAAAAAGCCGTGAATACGTGATACTTACCAAAACAAACTGACACAGCTGGAAAATCTGAGAAAATTCAGAACACATCGTATCTTTAAGGTGCTTGGCCTTAGTTTGGGTGATCTGGCCTGAAGAGAAGTCAAAAACCTGAAATTCAAAGGCAGTTGTCAATCAAATTCTTAGGTAAAATAATTAGTTTTACAGTTACAAAAACAAATACTGCTGCTGCAGCAACACACACATTTGCAAATATCAATATAATATGGTGTTTTAGGTCCATTTTTGGTTTATCATGCTGGTTCACAGACTCGCTCAAATAAACATGGGTTTACACTTTCCACATTTGTACGAAATTGAATTCAAATCGGATGATTTTTGCTCAAGTTATTGTGCTAACGGACACGCATTCACACACATATATATATACATATGAATTTGAACAGATAGTGTTTTAGGGCCTCTGGGGATATAAAAAAAGAAATATAAATTCGGTTCAGGTACAGTTATCACCATAAGAACCATGGTAAAAGCTTATTCCCTTGGTTAATTCAATGAAAAAACTATCTAAAAGTGCAATAAAGTTGGTAAAAGGTAATAGCTTTCTTTGCAATACGCTACAATATTCTAATTCCCTAATAATTATCTCCAAATTCAATGAGTAGGCCTCTTATAACCACAATGTGCAATTTTTAATTTTTTACAATTGTACCTAATGTTAATAAAGGTAAAAGTAAAACAATGTTACCTCTTCACTGAGCAGTTTCAAGATAGTCATGTTATTTTGACAAAGACTTTCATTGGTCTTGCTGGCTCCGACTATATCAGTAATAAACGTCTCCCAATTCTTGGGCCATTCTCTTTTGAGAACCTGCCAAACAAATAAATAAACATGATGAAACTACATAATAATCTAAGCTAACGTCCAATATTATTCCACTTTTGGTGGATGTGCTCGAATATAAAAAGTGACACAGACATTGGAGGAGAAAGCTTAGAATCTGCCAAAAAATATTATACCAATCTCGATCCAGTACAATCTGAATCAGTCAGTCCCAGAGCCTTTGCCATAGTTGATGTTTGTGTGTCGACACATAACACCACAGCAGGTTACAAAGCAGGTTTTTAATCAAGTATAAAAAATTGTATACAAAAGAAATCTAGTAGGCCATCTAGAACTAGGCTACCTATCTAGAATTACTAAATTTGGACAGTCAGTGTAAAGGCTGTAAACTACTGGGTTTAATAATTATAAATTATTTTAAATCTTGAGGAAATTCAAATTACATAACTGTCCAATTCTCTAAACTCAAAACTTAACCAGAGCTATGATGCACATTTTGACATGTCTAGCAAAGATTGGTATAAAAGCGCCTTATTACCTGAACTAGAATCATATTCAGTTTGTTCAAGTAAGTTTTCTCTCGCTCCATAGTTTCTGGGTCAGACGATGTTTTAATGATCAGAGCCACAATGTACTTCTTGATGCCTGCAAAAAGATGAACAGGTGAATATAAAAACCGATAATTTTTTGTAGAATAGAAATAGTAGAACTTAACAGAACTAGGAATAATTGGAATGGCTAAGTTGAAACATCGAAATATCAGCTGTTCCAGTCATCTACTTAACTCCTGCACTGACCAGGATTGAACAATTGGTCGCAAGTCCTAATGTCGTGAACATGCACTAAATGTTGTCACGTTGCGCTGTGTCTGTCCTGTTTTGCAGGTGTAATAACCGCTGACACAATGCAAATTAAGAAATTTTGTGTTATATGTAAAAACAATCCACTAAGCATCTAACAGTGGAGTAGTCTCCAAAACGGCCGTAGTGCAGTAAAACCTCTTCAGTAGGTTTTCATAACCAAATGTAAAAAACTTTTGAAAGGTTTGGCCAGGCACATTACACTTCCACAAATAAATATTGGAATGGTTTGAAAATTTCTTATTAAAAACAGTTGTCAATTCTGTTAAAATGTAGTGTTAGATAGTAAACAGTATATTAAACAGTGTTATGGCTGTATGTATGGATTGTGTTTTACTCATTTTGTATATCTGTTACTGGTCGAGTAGCAAAAAGTCTTGTACACGAATCATCAAGGAAGATGCTAACAGTACTTGAATGAAATCACATGAAATAGAATCAAAATCATCACGCTTGTACCGTAACACCCAACTTCCCGGCCCTGTAGTCCTGTTAACTTACCTTCACACTGGTTCCTGGGCAGCACCTTCCACCTAGTCTTGATGACCTGCTCCAGTATTTGCAGGGCATAATACTTGGTCTGCTGGTTGTTGGAGAACTCCAGTATGGTGTCCACCCTTGTCCAGGCATCAGGGTGTTCCTTTAGTGTAGTGAGTATCTCTTGGGCCACTCGTTGCTGAAATACAACATGTCAGACAAAGTCTTAGATGGGAAGCTCACAACCATTAGCAATACTAAGTTTAATACATCAAGCCAGTAATTTTTATATCCTCGCCAAACCATTCTGCAGTTTTTAGTTTTTTTTTCCTAAATCGTGCCAAGCCACCCCTCATTTTTCCACTTGCTGTTTGGCATACCAGTAAGTATTTTTGTACACAAGTATAAGTGTTTTTGGCCTTTGGAGGGACATCAAAAGTAAGGCCCCAGATAAGGATCATTGTTCCTTATCACCTGATTAAAAGGTTATAAAAAAGAGTTCTCCCGAAATTACAAGATATCTAGGGTAAAAATGTGATTACAAAATGTTTAGCAAGTCAAACTAGTAAAGAAAAGTAGGTACCAGATTATTTTACACCAGTGATATAACGTTAGAATAGGATGATTGGGAGGTGTTCGGAAGTTATTAATGACAACAGAATATACCCAGTAATATCAAATCAAATCTGCTTATACAGATCTGCAGTATAATAAGATGTTTTTTTTAAGGTGGCAGACTGACCTTTATTAAACAAGCCTTTTAACCTGATCTAAGTTGGCCAGGCCAGTCTTAGAACATAAAGTAGATTGCACAGTAACACCAGGTATTTACCTAAATGCTTAATTTAACCCCTCTTTACATTGGTTAAAAGTAAACCAACACTTTGGACGTCTGACTGATCCCATTTAATTGAATAAGAAATTCCCTTTTAAGAAAACAATCCTACAATACCTGTTCACCAATCCCCGAATACATTGCCCCCACTATGTTGTCCAACAAGTTAATGTCCAGCTTCTGGTTGAAGTCCAGAAGTCTGGCGGCTTCTTCAGAAAGAGTTGCCATTTTCTATCACTCACCTGAAAATATTGCTACAATTAGTCAAAAGTCAATACTTTATTTTGCATCTACTTCAAGCCATCATAGCTTAGTAAAAAGACTAAAATAGTCAAGGTTTACAAAGAGATTTAAAACTAATACAATACATTACAAATCATATACACGATAGTAGGCCTACTCTTTATCCATTAGAAAATTAGAGACTTACTTTCTAAATAGTTTAGTCATATGACGTTATTCCGGTTCCTGACTAAGTTACTAAAAGGTGTGTGAACAATATTCAGAGTCTAGAAATTGTGTACAAGGTTAGGAAATGGAGCCTTCACAAGCCTTTATTCTAATGATCGCATACAGCTTCAAAGTCGCTGCGATCATAGGAGACGATTAATTATGATATCCTCATGACCATGGATGACGACAATGATCTCTCCACAATCATGGTACATGTTCACAATTTTTCTGTGATCACAGGAGACAATTACGATGTCTTCCAGACTACATGAGATAATCACAACTCTTGACTGACATTGTGATGAGTGCAAACTTCACCAAACTAAAGATTATGCCTATTAAATTATTTAAAAGCTGAAATAACTAAACTTACACTGTCAATCACACAATTCAACTGAAATTTTAGAGCATAACTTCTTAGAAGCAAATGTTTATTGCAGTCTGGGCCTGCTCAACCTGAAACAAAAAATAAAAACTGTTAGGCAAACACAAAAAAAAAGTAAAATGATGACCTCATTTTACATAGGAATTGGGAAATTGGCCTATCAAGAAACTTATTTTTTTTTATCTTTTAGTCGGATATAATTGTAATAATTTTCAAAGTGAAATGGGATCATAATGTTTCATGTCCATTTACTTGATCAATTATATAGTTATTATTAGATTTGTAGTTGTATGTTGAGTTTAGATATAGGCTAAGTAACAAGTCAGAAAACAGAGGAATATTTCGGGTGAAATATTTTTATGGCTACAAGAAAAAGTAGTTAAGGAAAAATTGAAGATCACAAAAGAAATGCATTAATCAGTAAAAAAGACAGTGGTAGATATAGTAGAACTTGGATGATTCAAGTTCCAGAGACCAGATAAATACCCTCTCCATCCAAATAAATGAATTAAATAAATAGGAAAATTTAGATTTTGAAAATTGAAAATGATCACCTGAGATTGCACAACTGTATAAGAAACATCTATGTTCCATAGTTTAATGAATTTGCTATCTCTTTTCAATTTGTTTAGCTACATTTTACAGTTAAAGCTTTGTAGGTTGCTTTGGCTTTGATGACAACATTGTGGCTTGGTTTGACAAGTGATAACAATGTCTATAGGTAGGCTACTTACAAAAAAATGTAAGCTGAAAAATTACAAAGGCGCTAAAACGATGGATAGAGGTTCAGTGAGACCAATTACCAATTACTAGGCAGTACTATGAGGGTTGTTGTAGGACCAGAAAGCGGCCGGCCAATAGCAAAACAAGTTACAAATCAAACCAAAACTACTTGAGATAAAGTGTCCACGGATATACACATAATAGGGCCTAGCCGAGCCACCTACAGTAAAGCTTATTCCCTATATGGGAAATTTACTAGCATGAGACTTTTAGGTGTTCTGTTTCGAGGAACAATTTTATTCCCAATTTAAGTTACCTTAACGTTTTTTAATTAGGCTTAATAAACATAAATTTACAAGCAAATTGTTTGATAAAAATAATTAGTCTACAAGTTTCGATGTAACACAAATTCATTGAGGAAATTTCCTAATTGCTTTTACTTTCACTTTGACGTAAACAAGTTCCAAAATGTTATTGTCCTGACGTTAGGAAGATCAGCTATTCAAAATATTACCTAATAGTTTTAGGAAAATAGCAACTAAGCATTACAAGGAACTCTAATTCCTAATTCCTCTCTCTAATGCCTTGGTTGATATTCTCTTGAATTCTATTTACTTCAACACCAATTCAGAATGACAACCAATCTAATTAGGCCTATTTTAAACACATTTGAATGACCTTTTACAAAAATTAAGAATTTGAAATGCAAAAATAAGACTAACGCGGAGACCCATCCGCAAATTGTGCATTTTTATATGGATCAAAACATGTTTACTAATTTACCATAAGTTAAATTGCTGATTGTAGATCTACACCAAAAAAAGTGATTTAGGGTTGGTACCTACTTAAATAACGATAGAATTATCAAAAAATTAGCATATAAATTAGTATTGCAAAGAGCAGCGGTCCCCAAACTCTTTGGTCTGGTGACCCACCACCACCTTGGAATTTTCTTTTGCGACACAACAATTCAATAATGATTTAAAAAACCATATACGGGAGAGTGTTGTACCTTTGACCACCAGTCATATAGTAAAATCTAGAGGCTGTATAGGGAAGCTAATGAAACTAGTTCATAGATCAGCCACCAGAGGACTACTTCACCTTGCATTGGAGATTGAAAGCTGTGTTTGTTGGAAGATATTTTAGTTTATTAATTTTTGCTACTGAAAAGTAAAAATTTGTTGACTTATTGCTTGTTTTATAAAATGTATATTTTTCTACAAATAAAAGTGAAAGTTAGGGGTTATTATTTGATGTTTATCCTCTAACTTCACTTGGATGTTTGAAACTGATATTATCACATATCTTTTGAGAATATATATAAAAATGGCGGGAAGCGCTAGTGTTGTACCTTTGACCACTTAATAGTGGTGTTCCTTTGACCAGGTCAAAGGTACAACATCATATGTATTCAGTGTAGTTATTACTGGTTTTTATTGAAATATGTTAATGTATTAATATTAAGCTATTTTTTTGTGGAACCTACAGGAGGTTGTCACCAAGCTACCCAACACTGCCAAATCAAGTGGATAAGCACATCAAAGAGAATTTTTCAATTTTGCAGTGGACTTTTTATCCTAAAAAGTAGAATAAGCAATTTTTTTATCTTGATGATATGAATAATAAGTTCAACTTTGTGTATCTGGTTTTATATTTTAAAAACTATCATGTAAGATATATATTAGTTTTTTTCTACCTGTTTTGGGCTGAAATCGATATTCTGGTCAAAGGTACAACACCCACTGTCAAAGGTGCAACAGCATTTTGAACCTTTGACCACCATGTAACAAATTTTATTTATTACTAAAAATAGGTTAAATCTTATGACAAGGAACTGGAAAAAATATTTAATCCATGAATGAAACAGTTAAGTATCATCATTGATTGTTTTTAAAACTAGTGGCTTGTAGGGGCAACAGCCCCTATATTATGGTAATTATTTTGTACAAATTATTAGTCTCATGGATTACCCTACCTTGAACTATCATTTAACATTTTTGTAAATTATGATATGTATAATAGTTATTACATACCTGCATAATGCATTTTGATGTCTGCTCTATTTAAAATAAAAATTCCAAAGGACATGCGGTGTGTTTATAATATAAACTTTCTAATCATAATTTACAACTATGGAACATTTTCCAATAAACAATCTTTAAGACTATTAATTAAATCTATATAGATTTCTTTAAATATAGACAAATTATCTTAGAAAAACACATAGAGATAATGTCATCATCGAAATTGTAAACTGCTAATTCTACGACAAAATCTCTCTGAAACAATTTGTTTTTTGTAATATCCATTTCGGTCGATTACTTGGTCTTTATATGGTTCTAGTACTATTTTAACATAATCTGGCCTCTTTACTTTTCTTAATGAAACATATAGTTGACCATGGGTAAACACTGGGTTTTTTAAAATAAATGCCCACTTTTGTGAAGGTTCGTCCTTGCGCCAAAAGTTTACCAAATCAAATCGTTCTTTGGTCCTACCCTGTGTAATGCAATCTCATTTAAAAGTGGTAATCTATACACAGGAATAAATTCATGTTCATCCGATGCTCATTTATTCTTCTTCCATTAATATTGTGCCAAATCTGGTGCCTGTTGTTTTCATTTCGAGGAACAATAACTCTGCGTGGTAGTCTTTCGACATTATACATTACTGTGCAAAAAAACAATCCATTGTAAAGTATTAAGCTTAAAAGTATCAAATTGTTTACAGTTCAAAAGATTTGATCTAATTTTCGCTTTGTTGTTTACTGCTTCACAAACAATTTTACAATAACAAAATAATAACATATGCACATTCAGGTGTAGTTATAACTTTTTTTCAATTTATATAATCACAGCTGTGTTTACACTAAATAAAAATACATAAAATTAGATTCCCATGCTATTTAAATGTAAATTATTTTATTCTGTTACACCCTTTTGGCGCATAATTAAGAAAAATGAATAGTTTTCCCTCAAAATTCACGTCAAGACCTTTAAAATAAGACCCCTCCCATCCTTCAATGGCCATCCAGTCACTCACAATTTCTTTACAAAAATTTGACTTACGGAATTATATATATTGATGATTGGAGCTTTCCTGTCTCCACAAAAAATTGTTAAGTGAAAACTGGTCAAAGGTAAAACACTCTCCCCCTAATTAGTACCAAACTGTATTAAATGGAGAAACCGTTGGAATAAATAAATAAATTAATTAATTAATACTAGGCACTAGGCTAGTATAAAGTATAAGACTAGTATAGACTACCATTAATTTTATTAATTTATCATGTAGGTCTATAGGTACAGTACTACAAAACATATATAAACTGATGAAAATTAATTGTGAGGATGATGCTATTGTAAGTAAAAAACACTAGAACATCCATACCAAAACCAAACACCATGGTTTGAGAAAGATTAAATTATTTAGAGCCAACGTTTAAGCCTACTGTTTACAAGAGACTTTATGTGGATTGAATACTGACAATTATTGTGTGTGTTGGGCATTTCCAACACAAATCCTATTTCTAATATTCTAAATCTAAAGGAAGTTACCCTCTCACACAAATATGTTTTTAAAACAAAATTAGGTTAAACTAAGCATTCCCCCTTGATTTTACTGTAATAGGCTACTACAACAAAAAGTTTATAAATAGGCTAGGGGTATAAAAGTATGTTTCATATGTTTACAAGTTTGTTTAGTAAACTCGACCATTTATCACAATCCATTGATCACAATATTAGAGCGTAATTAACACACAAAGAAATCCCAATAAAGTATTCAAATCCACACATAAAAATTGGAAATAACAATTTCTCAAACAATTAACTTTAGTGTTTGATATTCCCAGTTTCATGCTAAATGACACATCAATCTCAATAAACTTTGAATATAAGTTAGGTACAGCCGAGCCCTTTGATACCCGCTCGGTACAATTTTGGTGTCCAATAATTAATTACCATAATCCTCTTGACCGTTGACCATTTCTGGGATAGGTCGCGTCAGTAATGATACAAATATCATAAAACTTACAAATAAAAAATACTTGAACATATAATAGAACGTTCCAGTATTGAAAAATTATGAGTGACAGTAATAAAAAAAAAAAAAAAAAAAATTTATGTTTAATCTCCTCCCGCGACCCACTGAAATTGCATCAGGTCGCAACCCATAGTTTGGGGACCGCTGCTTTCGGGACAAGTAACCTGCCCCGTAGCCTGCCTGCTCTACTGGCCTCCTGTAAACGCGGCTTTAAAGAGGGAGATATCTGGGACATCAATCTTAAGACAGATTTTATCAACATGTTTTCCTTAACATAAAAAATGATGAGTGGAATTTTGAA